AACCCCCATGTCCATCAGTCTAGACAGGGAAATGGAGTCATGTCCTTTGGCGTGCTTCTCAGTACGGTAAGTGCAGCGCATAGCATTGATAACATCACTTCTGTCCAGTACTGGGCCAGCCATAGCAACTGCAGTGTCAGCAAGATAGTCTGCACGCTCGTTTCCTTGAACACCCACATGACCTGGCACAAAGATGAAGGTTAGGGCAGATTTTCGTGAAATGCTTAGTGGTTCAATCCATTCGTGTTGATAAATCCAGCTTGGATTTTTTAAGCATATTCATCGTGTCACTAAGAAAGCATACGTGTGTGAACTTCTGAGTACCAAGCCATGCTAAAGCCCTTGTTACAGCCATAGTTTCCAGAAACAGAAACAAATACATAAAACATATAAACTGAAACATAAAACATATAAACAGAAACATAATACAAATGCATGCAGTGAGTTGCATAATTCCATTGTCCCCACCTGCCAAAAAAATGGACAAGATATAATTCATATCCCGACATTCCAAGCTTTTTATCAGACTCGTGCAAAGAATTTCATAACATGTCAACTTTCCCTTTGTGCCCTGCTTCAAAAATGATAACTGCTTTTTTGGGGGGACCAAATGACAAGCTTCGAAACAACGTGCTGTTCCCTTCAGATGCTGAATATTTTAAACTCTTAACCCTCTTTCATTTAATTCCGGGCTTTGTTCTTTCTACTGTCCAATATTTCGGCTTAAATTGGTTTAGAAAAGCGGCCACCTTATCAGTCTTTCTAATACTGGCAAATCTTGGACGGCTTGCAGAAAACAAACGAGATAATCTGATTTAAAAACAGACTTAGAACCAGGATTGCTTGTCGTTAGCCGCCCTGGCAAATGGGGAAATGTGCCTGCGTTTGCTTAAAATATTAACGTTGTGTCTCTTTTGTGTTGCCTCTTTTTTGTTCGTCTGCTGTTTTCTGGTTTGTGTGTAGGTGTGCATATGTGTGTGCGCGTGTATATGTGTATATGTGTGTGTGTGTTGTGTAAATGCGTGTGTATGTGCATGTGTGTGGCTTATTTCATTAGAAGAAAATATTGTTTTCTGAGATGTTTTAGTTTATACATTATTCTGGTAATCGTGTGTGCGTGCGTGCGCGCGCGCGCGCGTGTGTGTGTGTGTGTGGGTCGGTGTGGGGGGGGGGGTTCATATTGGCTCTTATAAAAGCAGTTACTGTTGTTTATTTCTTGGTCCTCGTTACTTCTCCTGCTATTTTTTTCCTTCCTTCCTTCCTTCCTTCCTTCCTTCCTTCCTTCCTTCCTTCCTTCCTTCCTTCCTTCCTTCCTTCCTTCCTTCCTTCCTTCCTTCCTTCCTTCCTTCCTTCCTTCCTTCCTTCCTTCCTTCCTTTCCTTCCTTCCTTCCTTCCTTCCTTCCTTCCTTCCTTCCTTCCTTCCTTCCTTCCTTCCTTCCTTTCCTTCCTTCCTTCCTTCCTTCCTTCCTTCCTTCCTTCCTTCCTTCCTTCCTTCCTTCCTTCCTTCCTTCCTTCCTTCTTCCTTCCTTCCTTCCTTCCTTCCTTCCTTCCTTCGCTTCCTTCCTTCCTTCCTTCCTTCCTTCCTTCCTTCCTTCCTTCCTTCCTTCCTTCCTTCCTTCCTTCCTTCCTTCCTTCCTTTCTTCATCTTCCTCTCCGTCTTCCTCCTACCCTTTCCTCCTCTTCTCTCTCCCCTCTTCCTTCTTCTTTTTCTTCTATTTCTTCTTCTTCTTCTTCTTCTTCTTCTTCTTCTTCTTCTTCTTCTTCTTCTTCTTCTTCTTCTTCTTCTTTTCTTCTTCTTTCTTTTCTTCTTGCTGCTGCTGCTGCTGCTGCTGCTTGCTGCTGCTGCTGCTGCTGCTGCTTCTTCTTCTTCTTCTTCTTCTTCTTCTTCTTCTTCTTCTTCTTCTTCTTCTTCTTCTTCTTCTTCTTCTTCTTCTTCTTCTTGCTTCTGCTTCTTCTTCTTCTTCTTCTTCTTCTGCTGCTGCTGCTGCTCTTCAACCATCTTCTCGTTCTTCTTCTTCACTCATAATGGACATCTCGCTTCAGGTAGCCAATAGCACCTGCTAACCTAGGTGTTTCTAATACTTGGAGCGGCAATATCGGGTAACCATGCACCAGACATGGCTGTCTCTTCTGGTCACGACACCGTGTCGAGTCAGTGGACGCGGACATTTGGATTTGTTATCAAGTAGATCTTTTCCTGAAAGACACCTGAACTTCAGCTGTCACTAAATAGGTTCCTCGGTGGACCGACATTGGATCCAGGTTGCCGTTTAGTAGGATTCTCTATCAGCCGACGTATGAACCATGGTTTCTGATCTAGTTGGAAACCCGGGCAGTATAATTCCAAATATATTCCAAAAGAGTTTTCAATCGGCGTTATCGCCCACGTATTGGAGGTAGCAGCTTTAAATTGGTACCAGGATGTATGCCCTTGAAAAGTAAAGACGGCCGGCGTAATGTTGACCACATTACCCACCTAGTGCCGATAGGTCTGTAAAAATATGGGTGCTGTTCCCATATGCCTGATACGCCCAAGGCGTGAAAGGGGATCTTTACTTTACTTATTGGAGGTATAGTGATGAGTGCCAGAGGTGTTATGAACACTGCATCTCTGAGGTCCACCAGTTCCGAGGTCCCCTGCCCGCCCAGTTTAGAGCAACAGCTCTCAACCTGCGGGTCGCGAGCCATTTTGTGTGGGTCGAACGACCCTTTCACATGGGTCGCCTAAGACCATCAAAAAACACATATTCATTAAAGTTATGAAGGAAAATAATTGTTTTTGGGTCACCACATGAGGGAACTGTATTAAAGGGTCGCCACAACATGAGGGAACTGTATTAAAGGGTCGAGGCATAAGAAAGGTTTGGAGCGACTGGTTTAGAGCGATACTGACCATTATCCGAAGTGCATCAGGAGGGCGTGAGACAGGAGTCATCATTCTGTTGCAGGTCCTTTGCAGAACGTCGCTGTCATCACAGTCTGCCTGGAAGAAGCTCGGTCTCTCACCAGCTCTCCCGCCTCATTTACTTTCAAACTCAAGGAGTCACTTCTATTCTCTGCCCATCTTCGTGTTGGTCGACCCCTGCCCCTCCTTCCTGGGTACAGTCCCTTTTGTGCGGGTGTTGCTCCCAAAATAAAAATTCACACAGCCATCAGTGGGTTTCGATCGCGGTACGTTGGAATGACGAGTCGGACTCGCAACGCATAAGGTGCATACAAATAAGTTAGATCTATAAATATAAAACCCACGTACACACAAAACTCAAGTTCTAGAACAAGACTAAGGTTCAGAAGTGGACAAATCACTAGAACTTTCCGCCGGAGTTTACGGCTGGGAAACGCTAAGAAGAAGAAAGCAGAAGATATTTAACACAACCGTTCTTATCCGAACAGGACCACATGCTACACCTAGCCCGTGTAACTGTTACGGTGCACTAATTATAACTTCTCTGGGAGTTGAACGGGGTATTTGGCATCAACCTTGTGTGTCTGCTGGGCAGATTGAGATTTTTACCGCCCATGTAGGCACAGCGAACCTTCATGTAGCCGCAATAAGGCGACAAACTGATCGATCGATCACAGCTCAGCGGCCTAAACTTTCCCGGTGTGTTGGGAAATGAGCAGGCAGATAGCGTTGCCAGCTCTGCACCACTTGGTGGTGAATTGACGTATGACAAGCTAGATATTGTGAGGGCACTTTGGGAGCGAGTAAACAGTGCAGAGGCGCAGATAAATCATTACGGTCTGATGAGAATGGCGCTGCGAGGAGTTACCAGGGGATCTGGCCGACGCTCAACACTCAATGGAAGAATGAGACGGATATACAATCAGACGGTTATTGGTGTCATCGAAATTGGAACTCTTTGCTTGCTGTTGAAGAAAGGGACGGAGCACTTATGGGGTGTCCCGAGTGCTGTGATGTCGATTCTTAAATCAACATTCAGCAACATTAAACTTTCAGTCATGGAGGTGACCGAAATCACATCGCCACGTACGCAAAAATCTGTCAGTCATCTATCTTCAACACACGCCAGAGACTAGACTTTTCTCGTTTCCGCTTGCTACATCTGCAGCTCTTAAGAAGATGCTAAGCAAACACGCGAGGCCAGGAGTAAACTCTTAGTGTCACTGCAAGTGGTCTACACGGTCTGGGTAAACAGATGCTTGTCTTAAGACGTTACAGTTAGGGCTGGAAATAACGGGGGAAAGTAAAGTGGAGATGTGTTATTATATGAGAATATAAGTAGATGAAGGAGAATTAGCCCACCCAGCGCCGATCGGTCTATAAAATTTGAGTCTTTAGTGCAAAAATTTTTTTGGGTGCTGTTGTATTTTCGATAATATTTCGGTAACTGCGTATCCCGAAAACGTATTTTTTTTTTTTTGCACGGGCTCCTATTTTCATCTTGGCGTTAATGTTTTATACATAAAAATGATTTAGACTATCCAGCTGTATCGAAACAGACTTTAAAAAAGAATTATCACGTGTGTAATTGTAGTTAGATAACCTAACACATTTTTACAATACTTATATAGCGCCGAGATACTTTCAGCACAACAGATGTGGAATTTATGTCAGACACAAGAAACAGGTGTTTTAGTGAAAGATCAATTGGGGTCAGTCTGCTCATTTGAACTTTGTGCCATATAACTCTTAAAAGACAACCCAACAAAGATCATTGTATATTTGTATATCTAAAAAAGAAGAAGGAAAAAAAAAGCATTTTAATTAATTGTTTTGCGGGAAAACAATCTAACATAACATAGAGGATGAAGTAATTATTAATGAATAATTCCATCCATTTATTTTTCTATACAGCTGATATATATATATATTTTTTTAAACATCGGCACTAGTTTGTAAACGCATTATAACTATAGAATCACATGCCCATAGCACCACTGACGTGTAAAATGGGCCTTTTATGCACTTTAGTAGAACGTAGACAGGTTGTATCTTACTGACCCTTCCCCCCTGTCCCTTCATCCTTTTCCCGCAGGCCTACTTACGGGAAGGTGTGGCCCTTCACGAGCTTGGTCGCCATGGTGATGCCCTGGCAGCATTTGCATGTGGACTGGGCCAAGAACCTGGGAACGTTCAGCTGCTGGATAGTATGGTGGAGGCCGCGCTGGCGTCTCCGTTGAAAGGTGAGTCGTTTTTGTGCATCATGGTTCAGTGGCACCGACACACATAAAATATTAGAGCTGCTCAGGGAAGAGGGGGGGGGGGGGGTGTTACATTTAAATTTTTCTAACAGGAAAGAGAGTTCAATGGAATAAGCATTGTTCAGGTGTGCAGTAATAATAATTAATAAAATAATACTAATACAAGTCTCAAAATATAAAACTAAAAATGTGTCTATCCTTCCTCTTTCACATGGCCATCTTCAAGTGGTGACCAGTAGAGGGGTGAAATTTGCAGATGTCATTCTGATTGCAAAGTGTAGGACAACGTTATATGTGCAGCCAAGATTTCTAAGTATTTCTTATAATTAAGACCACAATCATTAAAAGTTAACATTCACTGCAGTTGTTTAAATGAGAACCTACCTGTCTTTACATACCCTGATGGAGTGGTTAATACTTTAAGCTTGTCATTGTTTCTAGGCAGTGTGGTAGCCACAGTAGCACTAAACCAGTGTTTCTTAAAGTCTGAACTACCCTCCTCCACCATGGAGGTTGAGTGGTTTCAAGATATGGCATCCACCTTGAGTACTGAAGGTCCTGGGTTCAGACCCTGGTAAAGGCAGGGATTTCCCCCCACATATTACACAAATTATATGATCTCACCATTTTACTGAAGTTATCTGTGCTCAGCTGCTACTGAAGTTATCTGTGCTCAGCTTTTGCTGAAGTTATCTGTTCTCAGCTGTTACTGTAGTTATCTGTGCTCACCTTTTTCTGAATATCACTTTACTGAAGCTGTCTCCATCTACAGACAAACTGGAGTCAACTTTTCAACAGTTGGAGAAGTTTGGCCTGAAATCCAAACCATTTATCATTATTGCTGTTGTTGGTCAAGAACTGCTAGCTGCAGGTCAATTCAGCGCAGCTGTGACTATTCTAGAAGCTGCTCTTAAGGTAAAGAGTTACTGTGACTTTTGACTTTTTGCGATCCCTATGTGGTTTCCAGGGCCCAATTATGGGGAAAAAGGGGGGGGGGGGATATACTGACTGCTCCCTTAACAAGCATGTTATGGGAGCCAACTAATTAGGAATGTTTCCTTTGAAGTCAAGGTGCGTTTGCTGGAGAAGTTAAGAACCAACAGTCTGCATACAAATATACCAGAACTGTAACATGGGTGCACACTTAAGTTCTGGAACAAGACCAAAGTCCAGAAGTGGACGAACAACCAAAACTTTCCACCTGGGTTTACCATCGATGAACGCTAAGCAGAAGAAGAAGAAGAATTCTGCAAAATACATCTTCTTCTTCTTTGCGATCACTAGCTGTAAACTCTGGTGGAAAGTTCTGATTTTTTGTCCATTTCTGGACTGCAGTCTTGATCAAGAACCTGAGTGTTACATGTACATCCATTTGAAAGATCTGACACATTTATGTGCAGGCTGTTGGTTCCGTGCCTCTCAGGCAGATGTCTTCCGACTTCGAAGAAAGCTCCGAATTAGTTGACTCTTAGGACATGTTTTGGGCAGTCAGTGGGTCTATTTTTGTTGTTCCCGATAATAGGGCCCCGGAACCCACAGGGGGATGCAAAATACATGACTTTGAGTTAAGCAAAGAACTTGGGACATTTCCTTAAGCACTTCATGCATGTTTGCATCAGCCAGTGTAGAGTATCAGTTCTGGTGTTACTGTGCATGATATGCTAACCACTCACAAAAACTTGCAACTGATGCAAGCTATCGGAAAACACACGTGGCACACGTGCCAAGTATTTAGGAGCTATGTTTATAAACATCAGTCCTCCACACATACACACCAAGTTCCCTAGAGACAATGAACCTTGGTCGCCCACTCTCATTGGCACGGCACATGCTGATGGTGATTATTACTAGAGTAAAGATCCCTGTGTGGGTTCCGGGGTCCCATTGTGGAGAAAACAAAAATAGACCCACTGACTCCCCAACAAGCATGTTGTAAGAGTTGACAGACTGGGGCGCTTCCTTTGAAGTCGGAGTGAATCTGCCTGAGAGGCAAGGAACCAACAGTCTGCATGCAAATAAGCCAGATCTGTAAAATGGAGGGATAGGCAAAATATCAGGCCATGGAACCAAGCCAACGTCCAGTAATGGACGAACAACCAGGTCTTTTGCCAGGGTTCACGGCCGGTGAACACAAACAACAAACAACACTAGAGTAAACAAGGGTCAGCTCAAACAAAAGCACTATATTTGTGCAGCGGTTGTGTCGTGGTATTCAGTATAGCCAGTAGCCTATCACTGTTCATCACATTTGTCGACCAAAATTGCAAATCAGCTGACATCAGCGAAGGGGGGGACAACATCGTAGAATTACTAAATGAATCGCTTTTTGCCGATGACCAGACAGTCATATCACCAACAGCAGTTCAGCTACAAGAACATATCAATAACTTCACTCAGAATGCGATAACTACGATATGAAGATCAGACAAAAACAGAAGTGATGACATACTAAAGAAAAAGAAGAACAACCAATATCAAAACTGATGAACACCAATTAAAGCAGGCGGAGGATTTTACATATCTGGGAAGCATTTTTTTTTGCAGAAGACGGAAGAATGAATAAAGAAATCCAACAAAGATGCAATACAGCCAATCAAGTTTTAGGCCAAATGGCACTCATTTTGAAATGCAAGCATGTGAATATGAACACTCAAAGAACACTGTTTAACACAATATTCTTACCAACGCTCCGCTATCTAAAGTCATGACAGAAATGAAATGTTTACGTACTATGCTAGGTGTAATGAGGAAAGATTGACTTAGGAACGATAATATCAGAAGGAGAATTAGCACAGAACCAATACTGAACTTTATAGGTAGACAACAAATCAAATGGTTTGGCTATGTAACAAGACTGGCAGCAGACAGGGTACCACAGAGCAAATGTTATACAGATACAGTGGTATAAGACCCAGTCTGCTACCCATTTACTCACTGAAGTATCACTGATCGACCCCCAATTAATCATGTCAGTCCTTATTAACTAATGCACTACACTCTGCTGACCAGCATCCCTGATCCCTCTCCATCACCACTCCACATTGGTCAACATACACAAAGCTACCACAGTACCTTCTGTAGCACATGAAGAAACCCCCTCAACCAGCGTACCACATAACCACAACTTTGTCGACCCCAGCACACATGAGCCAACACAACCGTCCATTCTAGAAAATCACACTGACAGCATTCCGGAATACAACCTATTATCCACCACATTCATTGGACAGTTTACCCGAGCTACAACAAAATCAAACATATTTTTAAAACTGCCACACAACAAGTTCATGCAACCATGGGACTTGAACAATTCCTACACATGTCTAAACACTTAAACTGATGGAAAGTCACTGACTCATTCTACCAGGGGATCATCCCACATGCTGTCGGCCCACATGGATTTCACAATATCTGTGATAGACTGTGGTGACATGTTTGCAAGCTCACCATAAACTTCGAGCGACTCATGTTTCCCTGGCAGCAATTGGCTCACACTTCACTCTCTTCCAGTGACCCCAAATGCTTGCCTTCACAACCCATCAACACAACATGAATGCCAGTGTGCACCCACACCTCACCAAGCCCAGGCTTCATTAACTCTTTACACACCTGAGTGACATTTCCACCAAACAGAAACCATCATCAATCTATCCACCTATCTAAACATCAGCTCTTTTCATGACTACTGTTCTTACCTTTTTCTCATCAGATGATTGTATGAGCTATTACACAGAGCAAGCTTGAGAAAAAAAGACATTAGTGTCTGTGTGTAGAGTGAGTTGCATTTCTTGATGAGACTGAGATCAGGAGCATCTCATGGATTTTTTTTAGTTCAGGATTTTCTTGTGTGCAGGGTAATGAGTATGCCAATAGATTGGCTGCTGCTACTTCTCTAGGTAGTCAGTTACTTTATATTAAAGACAAGGTGAAGGCTTTCTGGGATTCAGTGGACTGTGCAGAAACACTTCAAAAGACTGATTGTGTAAGGGATTACTAAAGGTTCTGGATGGTATTCATTGCTGAGGGGAAAACATAGGCACACTTTTAATTAGGTTGCAGTTTGCACCATCTTTATGGGAACTCTTTATTGGCACTAAGAAAGGTGTCATAGCATTTGTAGGAATGTTCCAAGTGCAGGTGATATCAATTCTTGATTGATTGATTCAATCATTGAGCCATCTATACATCATCATAATCAAACCCCTTGCCATCTGGCAAGGTCAGTCATGCCTCTCCTCAATTTATGATCTTCAGCAACATGCATCAGTTTGTATGCTATCACCCCTCCATGCCATAATAAGATTGTCAATGATCTTTTTGCGTTATCTTCCTCCACAGATGGATCCAGAATCACAACATGTTCCTCTTTCCTTCTTCTTGTAATATGACTTAAAAAAAATGTTGACTGTCTCTTTCTGATGATAAGTTGTCTTTAAGCTTTCGCCTCTTTCAAAACATCCAGGTTACTCTTTTTTGGCTGTCCAAGGAATTCTAAGGATTCTTCTGTAAAAACTAAATTTCTAAGGCCTGAAGAAATACAGTGAAGTATGGATACTCGTCTATTCATATCAACGAATAAATCAGGTGCTGTTTTCACAATACATTTGGCTGCAATCACTCTCTGACATGCCCTGTCCCTCACCCTAGTTGTACACTCCCTCCTACCACTGTTAATCCACTTCTGGTTGTTATTCTCCCCCTTGTACAGCTGTCTACCTCTTGCTCTCCTGCTATCAAATCTTCCCTCCAGTGAAATTTTAGTTAAGAGTGTTAGTCTTTACATGTGGCTAAAATATGTCACTCATCTTCTTTAGATTTCTTTTAATGCCATATTTTTCAACATATAAGACACTCCCCTGAATAAGACAACCCCTCTCTTTTTTTTTTAGCCCCAAATTAACAAATAAATATTTAAAACATATGACAACCTTTAATCTTAAACTTAAAAAATGTGGGAAAACATATTGTTTTGTATACAGAAAAACACCTTAACTTATTTAATTCTTAGTTTCCCAAGAATCTCTGCATTTTTGTGGGTGTATGTTTTGTTTTTTGTTTCCCTGAAACAAGAAAATGCAATTATCCAGCTAGGTATTGTTATATTGTACAGGTCGGAACATGCAGTCTGAAGCTACGTGGATCTGTCTTCTCTGCTCTAAGCAGTGCATTGTGGGGCCTAGGCAATTTGGACAAGGCAATTTATCATATGCAGCAAGATTTAGCTGTGGCCAAAAATTTAGGTTTGTGAATTTTTAAAATCTTATTAATATTATTCTGTTCTTCCTCCATTTATGTCAGTAAAAGTGTATTTGTGTGGGTGGGGGGAAAGGGGGTTGGGTGGGTAGTGGGTGGGTGGGTGGAATATGTAAAAGCTATCTGCATGTTCTTTTTAATGGGCTGTGTAAGCTGCTAATCATTTCTGTAAGGTTGTTCGTGATGGATAAGGTTTCTACTTTTTAGTAATCTTCCCTTTCTTTGCTGTGTTTTCTTTGTTTTCTTCGGTGTGGTTAACCGTGCCAGTTGATACTAGAGCATTTTTGTTGAAGATGAAAGTTAAGACTTTAACCTATTAGAAAATTTGTTTGTCAAATGGCAAAGTAATATAATCTGTTACTCTTTTATGAGCTATTTGTGAGGAATTGTTTCAGCTCCAGTATTTACTCAATTTCTTTATTTTGTTGTTGTTTGTGTTCACCGGCTGTAAACCCCTGGCAAAAAGGACCGGGGTGTTCGCCCATTTCTGGACTTTGGCTTTGTTCCTGGACCTGAGTGTTGGGTGTGCATCCCTTTAACAGATCTTGCTTATTTGTATGCAGACTGTTGGTTCCTTGCCTCTGAGGCAGATGCACTCCAGCTTTGAAACAAAACCGCTAATTAGTTGACTCTTACGACATGCTTATTGGAGAGATAGTGGATCTATGACCCCAGAACTCACGCAGGGATTCTTTAATTTTAATTGCATCTATCCAGTACTTTTTCCCTAAGAAAAACAAAAGTACTAGTACTCAACACAAATTTTTACAAAAAAGGTGCCAGTACTCGTTATAAACTGTCTACAACAGTTTTGCTGAAAGAAATTATGCCCAAATAAAGGTGCCAGTACTGCGTCCCACCATTAAAAAAAGCCCTGCACCTTGTTACTCAAGCAGCTCTTCCAAGAACTTCTTAATGAAAAAAAAAATGCTTTCCATAGTCTTTTGTTTTGTTAATTAACATTAAATCCTGTTGAACACATTACATATTTTATCAAATGTACATGAAATACATGGGAAGCAGAGATGTGGTTTCTGTTACAAATACCTTGGACGGCCAGAGTAACTAACAACGATTGCTTGAAAGAAGCTAATGAAAGGAGATCTCTAAATACAACAATAAAAAAGAGACAAACACTGTTCTTTAACCACATAATGAGAAGAGAGATATTAGAGAACATCGTAACCACTGGAAAAATCAGTGGAAAGAGGCGTAGTAAAAGTAAAGTAAAGATCCCTTTACACGCCCTTAGGCGAATCGGGCATATGGGAAGAGCACCCATATTTTTACAGACCAATCGGCACTCGGTGGGTAATGTGGTCAGCATTACGCCGGCCGTCTTTACTTTTCCAGGACAGCCCATCCTGGTACCCATTTGAGGCTGGGTCGACCTGCGACGTCTCATACCACGATAAAAATCCACGCAGCCCACGCAGGTTTCGATCGCGGTACGTTGGATTACGAGTCAGACTAGCAACGCCTTAGCCACGGACGCCGCTAAGAGGCGTAGAGGCAGACCAAAATAGATGATGCTGGATGAGCTGAAATTATGGCATGGCGGGAATATCCTCATGAGAACTGTTCCAGGCAATCAGGGATCGTGATCTGTGGAGACACATGAGCTCCTACGCCAGTTGGCAGGGCACATAATGATGATGATGATGTGAAACACTGGGAGTTAAGGCAGTGCAGTGGCTAGACATTCCCATGGGTCGGGTCGACTCAAGAGCCATGGTCAATTTAGACAAATATCCACTTGGATGCAGATTTAAACAGGCAACATCTGGCCGGCAAGCTATCGCCATGTATGGAGTATTAAATACAAATTTGTCAACAGTTTAGAAAAGAATATGTGAAGAATGGAAATATTTTGTAGCTGATTCCCCATATAATCAGGTGTCAGATAGGAATGTGACCTCTCACAATTGTTCACAATTACATATATGAATAAAATTGCACAAGATTTGTGGCATTTGGTGCTAGGGTGTTTTTGTCAGATAATAAAACCATGCATCTATAATAATTTGTACCAGACCATTTCCATAATTTTCTGATAACTGTTTGCGAAGGAAAGAGGTTAAGGAAAGAAGCTGGCCACACACCATCACTGGCTATGAACTGCACTTATAGTGTTGGACTGTTTGTATTGTCACTCCTGGTAGCTGCCTTATGCATTTAATGTGTTTATTTGCTATTGGCTTTGCTGAGACTTCAGTCTGTGTCAGTTTTCACAAGTGACAGTCATGGACATTTTGTGTGTCGTTTTCTCTGGCCAAGGAATAGAGCAGCTAGGGAGTGAAGGCTCTGATTACCTGACAGGATAACCTAAAATGTGTAAAGACTTAAAATGTGTGAAGACCTAAAATGAGTGAAGACCTGAAATGTGTGAAGCCCTGAAATGTGTGAAGCTCTAAAATGTGTGAAGACCTGAAATGTGTGAAGACCTAAAATGTGTGAAGCCCTGAAATGTGTGAAGACAACAAATGTTTGAAACCCTAAAATGTGTGAAGACCTGAAATGTGTGAAGACCTAAAATGTGTGAAGCCATGAAATGTGTGAAGCCCTAAAATGTGTGAAGACAACAAATGTTTGAAGCCCTAAAATGTGTGAAGCCCTAAAATGTATGAAGCCCTAAAATGTGTGAAGCCCTAAAATGTGTGAAGACCTGAAATGTGTGAAGCCCTGAAATGTGTGAAGACAACAAATGTGTGAAGACAACAAATGTGTGAAGACAACAAATGTGTGAAGACAACAAATGTGTGAAGACAACAAATGTGTGAAGACAACAAATGTGTGAAGCCCTAAAATGTGTGAAGACCTAAAATGTGTGAAGACCTAAAATGTGTGAAGACAACAAATGTGTGAAGACAACAAATGTGTGAAGACAACAAATGTGTGAAGACAACAAATGTGTGAAGACAACAAATGTGTGAAGCCCTAAAATGTGTGAAGACAACAAATGTTTGATGCCCTAAGATGTGTGAAGCCCTAAAATGTGTGAAGACCTGAAATGTGTGAAGACCTAAAATGTGTGAAGACCTAAAATGTGTGAAGCCCTAAAATGTGTGAAGCCCTGAAATGTCTGAAAACCTAAAATGTGTGAAGACCTAAAATGTGTGAAGACCTAAAATGTGCGTAGCCCTGAAATGTGCGAAGCCCTGAAATGTGTGAAGACCTAAAATGTGTGAAGACCTAAAATGTGTGAAGCCCTGAATTGTATGAAGACCTAAAATGTGTGAAGCCCTGAATTGTATGAAGACCTAAAATGTGTGAAGCCCTGAATTGTATGAAGACCTAACATGTGTGAAGCCCTGAATTGTATGAAGACCTAAAATGTGTGAAGACAACAAATGTTTGATGCCTTAAAATGTGTGAAGCCCTAAAATGTATGAAGACCTAAAATGTGTGAAGCCCTGAATTGTATGAAGACCTAAAATGTGTGAAGACAACAAATGTTTGATGCCTTAAAATGTGTGAAGACCTAAAATGTGTGAAGCCCTGAATTGTATGAAGACCTAAAATGTGTGAAGACAACAAATGTTTGATGCCTTAAAATGTGTGAAGCCCTAAAATGTGTCAAGCCCTGAAATGTGTGAAGCCCTAAAATGTGTGAAATCCTGAAATGTGTGAAGCCCTAAAATGTGTGAAGCCCTAAAATGTGTGAAGCCCTAAAATGTGTGAAGACAACAAATGTATGAAGCACTAAAATGTGTGAAGCCCTAAAATGTGTGAAGACAACAAATGTATGAAGCACTAAAATGTGTGAAGCCCTAAAATGTGTGAAGCCCTGAAATGTGTCAAGCCCTGAAATGTGTGAAGCCCTAAAATGTGTCAAGCCCTGAAATGTGTGAAGCCCTAAAATGTGTGAAGCCCTGAAATATATGAAGCCCTAAAATGTGTGAAGCCCTGAAATATGTGAAGCCGTAAAATGTGTGAAATCCTGAAATGTGCGAAGCCTTAAAATGTGTGAAGCCCTAAAATGTGTGAAGACAACAAATGTATGAAGTACTAAAATGTGTGAAGCAACAAATGTTTAAAGCACTAAAATGTGTGAAGCAACAAATGTTTAAAGCACTAAAATGTGTGAAGCCCTAAAATGTGTTAAGCCCTAAAATGTGTGAAGCCCTGAAATGTGAGAAGACCTGAAATGTGTGAAGCCCTGAAATGTGTGAAGCCCTAAAATGTGTGAAGCCCTAAAATGTGTGAAGCCCTGAAATGTGTGAAGCCCTAAAATGTGTGAAGCCCTAAAATGTGTGAAGCCCTAAAATGTGTGAAGACCTGAAATGTGTGAAGACCTGAAATAAGTGAAGCCCTGAAATGTGTGAAGCCCTAAAATGTATGAATACCTGAAATGTGTGAAGCCCTAAAGTTTGTGAAGACCTAGAAGAAAAAGAAAGAATATATATCAGTCAGCTCATTCTGTGCACGAGAAGCATGAGATACTGAGATGGCGCACAAAAGGGGTCAGACTGAAGTACTAGAAATTTAATACTGATAACAAGTCTTCTTCTTTTGCCTTTCTATACCCCAATGGAGCATAGGCCCTCAACCAACTTACGCCAAGTCGTTGTATCCTTCACTGTTACATGGAGCTCTCCCCTTGTCCTCCCTATCTTTTTATCTTCATTCTCCAGCTCTCTTCTCCATGTGTTTTTTGGCCTTCCTTTATTCCTATGCCCCCGTGGGTTCCACTGCAAAGACATTCTAGTTATGCTGTTCTCCGGTTTTCTCAGTGTGTGTCCTAGCCAATGCCAGCGTCTTTTCTTCACCTCTTGGTCCACTGGAACTTGCTTAGCTCTACATTAGTTATTCTATCATACCATATAATTTACTCTATTCACTGATAACAAGTAAGAAGTAATAATAACTCAACCTGGCGTTTCATGTCCCAATGGCAGTAACTCCCACGTGACTATATTTTATGGTTCGATCGCAGCTTGTCATTCAGGGAACACGTTGACCATGTGATAACAAAAGCACGCAAAGGTCTATCTGCAATGAGGATTATGGCTGCTTCCAACATTGAGCAAAGACTACTAATACTTCTATTCTACGGTCTGGTCCTTTCCCCCATTGAATACGCTCTGGCCATCCTCACTGTCAGTGCTACCCAGATTGAACGACTCGAAAAGGTGCAAAATGAAGCCATGCGCATTATTTTGGGATGTACTAGAGACACATCCTGTGGAGCAATGAGGTATCTACTTGACTTTCCAACAATGAACCAAAGGATCAGGATGTGGAGGGCTCGGGCATATCTCAAAATATGTGCTGATAAGAAACACCCACTGCATCAAGCGCTTTTTAGTGAAAAGGGCGACAGACTGAAGAGGGGGAAATCGTGGCTAGGTCGGGCAGAAGATGTTATTAGGCAAATATGCAGCCTAAACCGACATCATACCTGGTGCAGAATGGATACCTGTGCCTCAGGCGTTTATTTGTACATTTTCTTGTATTGTCACACTCAACAGGCGATGTAGAGAAGAGAATCCTGTTGCTGTTAATGCAGAGGTACGCTCTCATCGGTGAAAATTCAGACGAAGCAGATGCAATAATCTATACAGACGGATCCGTTATACGCCAAAGAAGAAGCGCATGGGCATTTACAGCACGCTCAGCGGGCAGAACAGTCAAAGAAGCCAACAGCGCCTTCTCCATGACAACCAGCAGCATGACGATGGAGGTGATGGCAGTGACACAAGCGCTTGCCTGGCTTGAAACACAAAAATACACCCGCGTGTGTATACTCAGTGATTCAATGAGTATAATCCGGAGGGTTCAGGCAGGTTCAGTGCGAAGACAATGGCTTGAATCATTACAGAAGTCCACTGTCCGTGGAGTCACCTTTATTTTTGTTCCGGGACACGCAGGCGTCGATGGAAATGAAAGAGCTGACAGGTTGGCTGGATCCGCTATCACTACCGACGGTCAGCCTATGGATCATGCTGATATTATCAATGCCCTCAGAGAAATGGGAAGGATAGACGACTTTGGTGGCAGTGAATCCACAGCACTCGCCAGAATGGCAGACTTGGGAATTAAGATCGGTACAGCAAAAAACGAGACGCACACCAGCTACGCCAGAAGACTTGTTAATCAACATAGAACTGGTACTATTAGCCATCGGACGTTGGGGTTCATACTGAGGGGAGGATCTGAGCACCTATGGACATGTCCGGAGTGCAATGAGGATAACCCAACTAACTAACTAACTAACTAACTATATTTTATGTCTGCATTATTAGTTTTGTTTTTTAGATTTTAAGAGTGAGACACATTTTTCACAATGTCTTCTTTTTTTTTTTTTTTTTTCCAACAGGTGACCGAGAGGGCGAATGTCGAGCTTACGGAAATCTAGGCTCAGCTTACTTCACAAAAGGCCATTACAAAGAATCCTTAGCAAACCACAGGTTTCAGCTGGTCCTGGCCATGAAACTAAAAGACCGTTCTGTAGCAGCTAGTGCCTTGAGCAGCTTAGGACATGTTTACACAGCCATAGGTAAAGCTTCACAGGGATTAACTCCCCTGTGCACGTTTAGCTGTTTGCTGAATTTTATTTGTTTTCTTGTGTCTGGTTTTCATGTTTTGCCATCATGCAGCTGGGGAGTCACAACCTCGGTGCTCAAGCACCTTAAGACCCTCAAAATTATTTTTACGAGAAGCTGAGCCCTAAGCCCCCTAATACTGGCTTGTTCTGTACCACCGGTGGTAAATTGATTCATGTTATAATCTAAAGTTACATCAAAGCTCCCAAGCCCCCATAGATTGGCTGCTTCTGCACCACTTGGTGGTAAATTAATGTATGTAATGATGTTGAATGCTGAATTGAGCATGAACATCATAGCACTCAGGACACTCCCATAAGCACTCCTTCCCCATCTTCAGTAGCAAGCAAAGAGTTCTAATTCCAATGGTGCCAGTAACTGATTTATATCCGTACTGATTGTATATCAGTTTTGTCTTTCCCTTGAGTATTGAGTGTTGATTAGATCCCCTTGTAACTCCTTGCAGTTCCATTCTCCTCAGACCATAAGGATCTATTTGTGCCTCTGCACTGTTCATTTGCTCCCAAAGGGCCCTTACAACATCCAGCTTGTCATACATCAGTTTATCACCAAGTGGTACAGAACCAGCCAGTCTATCTTCGTGCTCATTTCCCAACACCTGGCATCACCTGGAGAAAATATCCAAAGGATGCTAACTATCTGGGACCTCATCCACCTTCCTCAAAATACTCTGTGAGACAGTTACAATTATGACACATGTGTACAGCTGATTCTAAAACAAGCAGAAGGCAACATTTACTGCCTCCACCTCCATGTCAAACTGGACGTTGTGATGATTTTATAAAGTTACATTAAAATTATTTAGTTAAAATTGCAACTAAGCATTCTAGCACTTAGAAATAACATCGAAGGTACTTTTAGTATTAAATGCTCTCAGTAGATACAATATTATAGTCCAGAGAGAATGGTACAGATACAAGAGACCAGACAATCTGGTCGACACTCTACACTCAGAGGAAAAAGCAAGATGGACATATAATCAAACTGCTACTGCCATCATCGGAACTGGAACTTTTTGCTGGCTGCTGAAGATGAGGCCAGAGTGATTATGGGAATGTCTTGAGTGCTGTGATGACAGTTCTTAGCTCAAAGCTCAACAGACAAAATAATTAGGATAAGGCTCTATCATCATCATCTAGAGACAGGAGGTTCTAATGTGACTTCAGTTTTTCATTTGTACAGTGCCTAATGCAGTCATGTAAAACTAGCAGCCCGCAAACACACCTGTGGTCTGCTCCCCAAAAAATTCTGCAATAATTTTTGATAAATGACTTCAGTTACTTGTCATATGAAGCCCTTATGATGACACATGGGTTATAGAAAAGTTAGTCTCCCCGCAAAAGTAGGTCATGTTTCATTGACAACTTTATGTGCCGTTCTGTTGTTTGTTTTATGGCTTCTCTTGCATTTATGTTTTTCTTCCGAGAAAGAGAATGCCTGTGACATAGGTTGCAGCTCCCTCTAGGGGTGGTTGCGTGTTAGACCCAGTTTGTCCATGTTTTTTTTTAGTGTTAAAAACGCTGGCATGTTGAAATATACAACACGCAATATCAGCAGCATAGCGGAACACCCCCGTAACCTTATGTGAAGGTCACATGTCTCAAGGTCGACCAATCAGAAGTGAGCTAGGCTGAGGGTCGACCAATCAGAAGTGAGGCAGTGTGTAACACTATGAAAATAGGGGGACTAACTTTACTATTACCTGACACATGTGATTCATATGGCCCTGGGAGGGCCCTCAGTTTCACATGCCTGCCTTAATGTGTTCTCAGGAATCGTTGACACCTTTCCATATTCTTAGATGATCATGTTATATTATGCTGTAGGGAGAAATATGATCGTAGCTCATGGTAATGGTGAGTGTGACTAGCAAGACCTGCTTACATTAAGAAGTCTTTCACAATAAGAGCATTTGATTTCAGGACCTTGGTTTCCATTAGATGAATTTATCATGCTTCTCCACAGAGGCATTATCTCTTTTACTCCATCTACGAGGGAAAGTTAATAAGTAAGTCACAAATAGTTGTTAAAAAAAAAATACTGACGATAACAACTTGAAAACCATTTATTTTTACACATACTGTCCCTTTATTTTTCAACATAATTTTTACCAACATTAATGCACTTTTCTCATTGTTTTATCAGTCCTCCCAAACCTGCTGCATAGATCTGTGTGCTCTGTTTTCTAAACCACATTTTCACTTCACATTCAACTTCTGTGTCATTTGCGAAATGTCTTCCACCAAGGTGCATTTTCAGTTCACCGCTTTACGGGATAAACATTTGTCAGCGTAAACAGGAAGCATTTCCTTATGAATGTCCTTTGCAGGCAGACCTTTTGCCACCAGAAAACGCACAACAGCGTGTTGTTCTTTGAGGGTACACACCGTAAGTACAGTTACCATTTTGGTTCCGTGTTGCGAATGCACATGCAACACATAGTGTCACCTATTGAATGGAGACATACAGTTTGGTGTTGCTGTCACCTGATGACACCTTTAGAAACCACCAACTACAGTTTCCTACCATTCCATGACCATTTGTGACTTACTTGTTGTCTTCCCCTCGTACTTTCCTGATTTCCTCCCCCCCCCCTGCATGCAATATGATTTCACTGCATCCTGTTTCTGTAAATCCCCTTCAATACCTGTATCATTCACATCCCACTTGCACACATCTTTATTTTGTAGTAGTGCACATAAATTAACTAACATATATATTCATTTGTCACTGCAGGTGACTACCCAAATGCTCTGGCCAGCCACAAACAGTGTGTGCTTCTTCTGAAACAATCCAGAGAAACCCTCCTGGAGGCAAGAGAAATCGGCAATGTAGGATCTGTTTACCTGGCCATGGGAAACTTTGAAAATGCAGTAGAGTGTCATCAGGAGCATTTAAAGATAGCAAAAGGTTTGAAGTCCACAACAGAAGAAGCTCGGGCATACAGTAATCTTGGCAGTGCTTATCATTATAAAAGAGATTACCAAAAGGCCATGGTGTTCCACAAGGAGGTTCTGAAGGTTGCTGAGTTGACCAAGGACAAAACTTTGGAAGCTAGAGCATATGCAGGTTTGGGACATGCTGCTCGATGCTGTGGTGATACCATGACTGCCAAGACATACCATGAGAAACAGCTAGATAATGCCTTACAAACAAAAGACAAAGTTGCAGAGGGACGGGCTTGTTCAAATTTAGGTATTATATTTCATCAGCTCGGAGAGTATGAAGCTGCTCTGAAACTTCATAAAGTCCACTTAAAAATTGCAAAGGCTTTACAAGATAGAGCAGGTCAAGGGAGAGCATATGGAAATATTGGGAATGCATACAGCGCCCTTGGGAAACACGAACTAGCAGTTAAGCAGCATAAACAAGAGCTGGCAATCTCATCTGAAGTCAATGATCGTCACTCAGAAGGTTCGACTCATGGGAACCTTGCAGTGGCCTACCAAGCTCTAGGCAAAACCGAGAATGCTCTTCATCATTATTTATCTCATTTGAGCATTTCCCGGGAGTTGAAAGATTTATCCAGTGAAGCCAGAGCTCTGTGCAATCTGGGAAATTTTCATTGTGCCAGGGGAAATTACTCTAGTGCAGTTTCATTTTATGAACAGTTTCTTTCTTTGTCTCGAGAGCTGAATGATTCAGAAGGAGAAAGTAAAGCTTGTTTCAATCTGGGATATGTACATTTCAATTTGGGGAATTTCTCAGAAGCTGTAAAATATTATGAACAGGATTTGGCATTTGCAAGAGACAGGAAAGATCGGTTAGCACTAGCACGTGCATATTGTAATCTGGGATTAGCACATAAATCTTTACTCAGGTTTGATGATGCCCTTGAGTGCCAGAGAAAGTGTTTAAAACTTATGGATGCACTGGAAAATACCCCAGGAAAGTTACGAGCATTAGGTAATATTGGAGATTTAATGATGAAGGTTGGTGATGTCAATGAAGCTATCAAAATTTATCAGCAACAGTTAAACCTCGCCAGACAGTGTGATAGTTCTGACCTTCTGGCTACAGCTTATGGAGCCTTGGGTTCTGCTCACAGAATGTTAGGTCAGTACGATAAATCTCTTGCGTATCATACACAAGAATTGAACATCCGGCAGGATATTAATGATCTGCGTGGAGAATGCCGTGCACATGGGAATGTTGGCAATGTTCATATGTCTCTTGGTAATTTCTTAACAGCTTTGAAATGCTACCAGGAAATGCTTGAGAGAAGCCGAGAACTCAAAGACCATCGGCTAGAAGGACAAGCCTGTGGTAACCTGGGTATAACAAAAATGAATATGGGTCAGTATGAAGAAGCTATTGGCCTCTTGGAAGAGCAACTGGCTATGCTGGAGCAGCACTACGGCCCAACAACTCTTCAAGACAAAGGCAAAGCTTTTGGGAATCTTGGAGATTGTTATGAAGCTCTTGGGGATTATGAAGAGGCTGTTAAGTGGCATGAACAATTCCTGATAATTGCACAGCAGACCAATTCCCTCACTGATCAAGACAGAGCCTATCGTGGATTGGGCAATTCTCATAAAGCTATAGGGAATCTTCAGCAAGCATTGGTATGCTTTGAGAAAAGACTGTATGTTGCTCATCAAACCAACAGAGCCGCCTCTAAAGCTTCTGCTTACGGAGAACTTGGATGTCTTCACAGTTTGCTGGGTAACCTGGAGCAGGCTATTGCTTGCCTGCAGCATCAGCTGTCCCTGGCTGAAGAGATGGGTGATGCAAATTGTCAAGGAGATGCTGCTTGTGGTCTGGGAGGGGTCTATCAGCAAATGGGAGAATACAGCACAGCACTGACTTACCACCAGATGGATCTCAGGATTGCTGAGAAAACAAACAACACAGCGTGTCAATGTAAGTCTGCATGTCATTTTTCTATAACCTGTTGTGTGCTAACTCCTATGAGTATGCAAGTATGCCAGAGTTCAGAGGCAGTGTGAATGCACATATAGATATTTATAAGTATGCAGGCAGAGCCTAGTGCAAAATTCCCAGGCTACTTACAGTTCGTAAAACAAGTATTGCTAGAAATTCAGGGGTAGCTGAGGTCACTACAAGTATTGCGAAGGGAACTGCTTATGGAGAACCATGTGGTAGTTTGATTTAATAGCTCTCAGTCCATGAGATAGGGTTGATTCAGTAGTTCTCAGCCAGTAAGGTAGGGTTGATTCAGTAGCTCTCGGTCATTGAGAAAGAGTTGATTTAGTAGCTCTCGGTCACTGAGAAAAAGTTAATTCAGTAGCTTTCGGTCATTGAGAAAGAGTTGATTCAGTAGCTCTCGGTCATTGAGAAAGAGTTGATTCAGTAGCTCTCAGTCAGTGAGATAGGGTTGATTTAGTAGCTCTCGGTCATCGAGAAAGAGTTGATTCAGTAGCTCTCAGTCAGTGAGGTAGGGTTGATTCAGTAGCTCTCATTCAGTGAGATAAGGCTGATTTAGTAGCTCTCGGTCAGTGAGATAGGATTGATTCAGTAGCCCTCTGTCAGTGAGATTGGATTGATTCAGTAGCCCTTGGTCAGTGAGATTGGATTGATTCAGTAGCCCTCGGTCAGTGAGATTGGATTGATTCAGTAGCTCTTGGTCAGTGAGATTGGATTGATTCAGTAGCTCTCAGTCAGTGAGATAGGATTGATTCAGTAGCCCTCGGTCAGTGAGATTGGATTGATTCAGTAGCTCTCGGTCAGTGAGATAGGATTGATTCAGTAGCCCTCGGTTAGTGAGATTGGGTTGATCCAATAGCTCTCGTTCGGTCAGATAGGGTTGATTCAGAAGCTCTCATTCAGTGAGATTGGGTTGATTCAGTAGCTCTTGGTCAATGAGATAGGGCGTACATGTGGATTTCTGTGAGAATTGTTCTAGTCCATTGGAGCGCATGGGTTAAAATTATTTTTTTTCATTAGAGCTTTTTGTTGGAACTTTTTTTGTCCCTATCAACATATTATATGTTATTACTTTTATACTTGTATATTTTATGTTTGGTTAAGGCATGCTGAAGAAATTTGGTTGCTATTTAAGAAGAAGTGGATCTCAGGTTTTCTGAGAACATAAACAAGACAACACATGCCATTGTAAGTCTGCACATCACCTTTCCATAAGGGAAAAAAAACATGGTGCCGTCTCCACAATATAGGTTGCCTGCAGTGTTTCCACTGCTAACTATGGGAATATTTCATGCTGAGGTACCCATCTCTTCCACAGTGCGACTCTTATATCACTGACTGAAAGTCATGAGAATATTGTTTTTGTAAACCACCTACCACTGGAATCGAACCCTAGGAAATGTTGAGGATTGCATTGTGCAACCATTACACTAACATGTAAGCCGCACACCTTTCTGTAACATAAACTGTGTCTGTCCCAAACAATGCACACCATATTATTTTTGATTCTTTGTTTTGTTTAATATACTAAAGAAATCTGGCTTAATACCTGAACTAACTTACCATTAAAATGAATCTTGGAATTAGTGAAAATACAAACAGCGCAACATGCCAGTTTAAGTCTGTCATTATTTCCTTTTTAATAATCAAAACTTAATCTTTTGCATTCTGCAGCTCCCTCTGTACCCTCCCAAAATGATTCCTTTCTGTCTTTAATTCAACAGTATGAATCTTAAACACAAAAGGCATTAAAAAAAATTTCAATAATAAGAAACATTCAAATAATTCTCTGAAACTTCTTAGAAACTACAGCAGTGGTTCTCAACCTGAGGGTCATGACCCCTTTGGGGGTTAAATGACCCCTTCAAAGGAGTCGCCTAAGGCCATCATAAAACACATATTTACTGAAGTTATGAAGTAGCAGTGAATATTTTATGGTTGGGGGTTGCCACAACATGAGAGGCTGTATTAACCCTGAAACATCCACTGGGTCATGGGTGACTCAACCTTAAAACGTCTCTTTAAAGGCAAGCATAATATTAACAAACTGGGGCATCTTTGGCTTAGGCGTTGCGAGTCCGACTCATAATTCCAACGTACCGTCATCGAAAACCACTGCTGGTTGCGCACATTTTTATCATGGTATGGGGTGTCACAGGTATACCTAGCCTAAAATAGGTACCAGGATGTATGTCCTGGGGAAGTGAAGATAGCCAGCATAATGCTGACCACATTATCCATGAGTGCCAGTTGGTCTCTACAAATATGGGTGCTCTTCCTATGTGCCCGCCACTCCTAAAGGGGTGAAAAGGGATCTTTACTTAAAAAAAAAAAATAATATTAACACTGACAAATTCTTTCCAAAAAAGACCCAGTGTCGCATGTGATGAAAGTAAGAACGTAACTGTAACATTTTTTAACCAAAATAGGTCTTTTACAATGTTGACCCAGTGGGTTATGGGTGGAACATTTGAGTAGGGTAGGCCAAGGTCAGTAATTAAAAAAAAAAAGATTATGATAAAAATTGACTTTTTGCCTAATATTGAACCTTATCACCAAATTTTAGATTTGTTCGCCACTTGGAACATGGCCTGGGTTTTTCAGGGTTAAAGAGTCACGGTGTTAGGAAGGTTGAGAACCAATTTACTAGAGAAAGAGAAGAAGAAGCATAAGAAATTTGGAGTCTGGTCATCCTTTATAAAAATCTAGAGGGTTGAAACCTGTGACCACCAATAGGAGAGGAAAGCATGGTATCCCCTGCGGCCAGCAAATCACTAAATTAATTCACATTTATTTTGTTTTTTCATGTTTATGAGCAAAATAATTTAAGCAAAGAAATTAATCACTAAATAAAACTGGAACAAACAATTAACTATTTACCTTCCTTTTGACTGTGATAAACATGGTTTTGTTGATTTAGCCAGGGAAAGCAACGTGACATCATAGTTTATTATGATAGCCTAACGGCGCTGCCAGGGCAAAAATTTGGAGTTAAAAATCTACCCAAAGTATTTCAGGATCCTCGCCGGTGCTACAGAGTCTGTGCACTGTGCTGAGCTTCTTCGGACTCAGACTTGAGTTAAAAAAAGAACAGAGCACTTATGGGTTACTACCCGTGTGCCATGATGTTGATCCGTTGTTCAAACCTAAAATTTCAGACCACATTATTATGATGTAAAATGGTGACAATTTCAATGGAATTTTTTCTCTCTAAAAAATAATATCTAATATTTTTTTTTGGGGGGGGGGGGGGGGGGGTGGAGGGGGGTAAATATAATCATGCCCACCATGCCTACACACTATACAGTCTCAGCCAGTATCAAAGCTGTTATATAGGTACAGTGGTCACTGCTCAAAGACATATCATTAAAAAACCCATAATTGCCAGAAAAGCAGCCTCTCTGGGTAGTAGGGTTAATACTCTTGTCTATTTTTTAGATTTTCTTCTATTTCTCTTACCATGGGGTTCCATAAAAAAACTTTTCAAGTTCTTCTTCTCCTTTCATTCGCCTGAAATAAGTTGTCTATATCAGCAATTTTGTCACTCGTATAAATTTCAATGTAATTTTTAGTTCATTCAGTGGTCCATAGATTTACGTTCCACTGTTGTTCTTTCTGGCCAAAAAAGGTTTGCCTTAATGTAATCAAATTCGGTTCTGTCCTGGAGTACCTTTCTAGTTGTACTGTGTAGCTGTTTTCTCAGTGTGTCCTGTTTAAACCCAACTCTTTTTTTCCCATTTCTCAATTTTGATAGTATTTGTTTCTTTTCTCCCAAAGCTCACCATTTGTGTTACTGTCACCCCCATGTAGGTTCTGGGGCACCATTGTAGGGGAACAAATAATAGAGCCACTGCCCCCCCCCCCCCCCCCCCCCTCCCCCCCCCTAACAACAAGCAAGTCATAAAATCCACCTAATTAAGGGTGTTCCCTTTGAAGTTAAAGTGCATCTGCTTGAGAAGGGAAGAACCAACAGTCTGCATGAAAAATAAGCTAGATTTATAAAACAGATGGGCACGTAAAACTCAGGTCCAGAAGTGGATGAACATCCTGAACTTCGGCCAGGGTTTAAAGCCAGTGAAGGTGATAAAGACAAAAAAGTTTACATAATTTTAGCATGTGACTTTAATTTAAAAAAAAAAAACCTGACTTATAAGAACTGTTTGTTTTATAGGTCGAGCCTATGGCAATCTTGGTCTTTCATACGAATCCTTGGGCAACCTCAAGGAGGCCATCGAGCATCAGAACCAACATCTGAGTATTGCAGCCCAGCTGAATGATGGCGTGGCTAAAACTCTTGCATACAGCAGTTTAGGTAAGCAACATTGCATTCGTATTTGTTACTGGTCTAGTTGCCAACCAGTGCTGTATCCCAATAGAGGGGACAAGTTCGATTCCGGGCATGGTAAACTATAGCTTTCGAATTTCATGTAGTCTAGTCTAGTCAAATATTGTGTTGTCTTCTCTCTTTTTTTTTTATCTTTCTGTGAAAGAGGATCAGTACACAACATCCAGTTTGTTTATTGTAACAAGGTCAGCACGAGCATTCATTCACTTGCTTCGCAGATGCACTCAATGCACACTCTGCCAGTGCCACCAGACTAGACTCTTCCAGGATCGAAAACAAGACTGAAATTTCTCATTCTTTCCAAGTTTAAGTAACCTATTTTCCGTCTCCTGCACTCAAAAGTTCTGCTCACAGTTTCACACTTTTCTCATCTGGCACGCTTCATCCAAACTGCATGTCTGCCTCGAGTTAGTATCACTTACTAGATTTGCTTATGCATAATTAGTAGTCAATGCCGTCTATCTGGATTCTTGCACATAATTTATGTTTAGTAGTTGTCTTCATTTCTAAATAATGAGAACATTTACCAACAATTAGAAAATTTACCAACACTGAGAAAATTTACCAACAATGAGAACATTTACCAACAATGAGAAGATAAACCTTTAAACACGCCTGTGGTGCGTCGGGCTTATCATGACTCATATTTGCATAGAGCAATCAGCCCTCGCTGGATAATGGGGTTAACATCTTCCTGGCCACCTTTACTTCCTAAGACATTACCTCGTACTCATTTTATGTGGGAGCCAAGCTCATTTGTGCGACCCCCCCCCCCCCCCCCCACCCATTAAAAAAATCCACTTGCTGCAGATTTGAACCCACCACCTTCTGGTAGCAGCTGAACTTTTAGCCACTAGACTATCATGGTTCTTTCATGTCCTAAAATGTCTTCATGTTCATATCACTGTTTTTGTAATATTGTTAAGTCAGAAATTTTAAAAGCAAAAATGTTTCATTAATTTTTAACTCTTTGACCCTAGTGATTTAGGAAACAAAAACAAAGGTAGGCTCATGTAATTTCCATATTCTTTGGAAATTTCAGAAAAAAAATCTTTGGAAAAATCAAAATTTTACATATGTCACAAAACAAATAGGACAAAATCAATTTATCATTCAAAAGATGAACAGATACTATGCAAACTAAGGGGATAAATCAATATGAAGGCAGCATAGACTGGTTCGACTTAATCTCTCGGGGCCTGTAAATTAATTATAGCATGACACTGACTTGACCATGTGACCTGGTCGCCTAGTAACCACTGCAGGGAACTTGAAAAATATGACCAGGGAATTTATATAAATTAAACTTTTTTTAAAAGGAAACCCACTATTATTTTAAAGGAGCCTCAGTGGTCTAGTGGCTAGACTCTTGCCTGTGGATCGGAAAGTCATAGGTTCAGGTTCTGGCGGGGTCCGGACATTTTTCAAAAATGACCTTGGCTTCCATGTTGACCCAGCCTTAAGTGGGTACCAGGTGCAGTCCTGGGAAGTAAAGGTGGCCGGCATGGTGCTGACTATATCACCCACGAAGTGCCGATTGGTCTGTAAAATATAGGTCCAGCCTTATATGCCCAATACGTCTTAAATCAGGGAAATGGTCCTTTACTTTACTACTGTTTTAAGTAAATGTAGTCATCTCCTGTCACACTAAATGTTTGCACAGACACAGATGTAATGAATTCTGTTAGCTAGACGTCTCGTAAACATGTCACTATAGCAAGTTGGGAAAGTGGCTCTTAGAGGGAAATGGTAACAAATGTCTCATAAACATGTCACTGTAGTGAGTTGGGAAAGTAACTCTTACAGGGAAATGGTAACAACGTCTTGTAAACATGTCACTATAGTGAGTTGGGAAAGGGGCTCTTACAGGGAAATGGTAACAACATCTTGTAAACATGTCACTATAGTGAGCTGGGAAAGGGGCTCTTACAGGGAAATGGTAACAATGTCTTGTAAACATGTCACTATAGTGAGTTGGGAAAGTGGCTCTTACAGGGAAATGGTGACAACATCTTGTAAACATGTCACTATAGTGAGCTGGGAAAGTGGCTCTCACAGGGAAATGGTGACCACATCTTGTAAACATGTCACTATAGTGAGTTGGGAAAGTGGCTCTTACAGGGAAATGGTGACAACATCTTGTAAACATGTCACTATAGTGAGCTGGGAAAGTGGCTCTCACAGGGGAATGGTAACAACATCTTGTAAACATGTCACTATAGTGAGTTGGGAAAGTGACTCTTACAGGGAAATGGTGACAACATCTTGTAAACATGTCACTATAGTGAGCTGGGAAAGGGGCTCTTACAGGGGAATGGTAACAACATCTTGTAAACATGTCACTATAGTGAGTTGGGAAAGGGGCTCTTACAGGGAAATGGTGACAACATCTTGTAAACATGTCACTATAGTGAGTTGGGAAAGTGACTCTTACAGGGGAATGGTAACAACATCTTGTAAACATGTCACTATAGTGAGTTAGGAAAGGGGCTCTTACAGGGGAATGGTAACAATATCTTGTAAACATGTCACTATGGTGAGCTGGGAAAGGGGCTCTTGCAGGGGAATGGTAATAACATCATGTAAACAAGGGGCTCTCACAGGGAAATGGTAACAACGTCTTGTAAACATGTCACTATAGTGAGTTGGGAAAGTGGCTCTTACAGGGAAATGGTAACAATCAGAAGTATCGGTTTTGTGGTTTCTCAGGATGAAAGAGTTATCATATTTCATCCCCATCATGCACTTGGTCACTACACAGAGGCAGTCAAGATATATTTTTTGTTTGGTTCCCTGACAGAATATTTTCCAAGATCACTGTTTTTAATCATACTATTTTTGCCAAATCAAAAACCCACAGACTGGCTGAGTTTGGAGTGGTTGGCTGAGGAAGAAGTGTGGAATGGACAAGGCAGGCATACTGAAAATGCTGAGAGGACTGCGTGGTCTTAAGGCATGGTGTCTGTCTTGAGTGCTAGAGGTTCCTGGTTCAATCTCCGATAAGGGCTGGGATGTTTTGACGTGGACTTGGACGTCTAGTAATTCCCCCTGGTCTCTGGGTAGTGAGATTGGACCCCCATATGAACATGTAAAAATTCCCTCGGCAGTTGGAAATCGAAAAGAGTAGCCTAACGGCGCTGGTTAGTTGCGTATCCTTTACAGGATGTTGCAGAACCAACCCCAGCAGCCCCTGGCTGTTGTGTGGTTTCTCTAGGCAAATTTATGTCCAGTAGTTTGCCATTACTTTCTGGATGGTCAGCCCCCTGATACCACTGTCAAAACCAACGCAAGGTGCATGGCCCTCAGCCGGGATCGAACCCGGTACCCCGGCATTACGAAGCGTTCGCACTTACTTAGCCACAGAGCCGACCTAATGGCGCTACCAGACAAAATTTGGAGTTTAAAATCTACCCAAAGTATTTCATGATCCTCGCTGGTGCTACACAACCTGTGCACTGTGCTGAGCTTCTTCGGACTTAGACTTGAGTTAGAAGAAGACGGAGCACTTATGTGTTACTACCCGTGTGCCATAATGTTGATCTGTTGTTCAAACCTCAAACTGAAAATGCTGCATTTCAGATGCATTCGAGAGACACTGAGACAAAAATGTCAAAGACAGTGAACCACCCGTTGAAAATGGGTATTTAATGAGGACAGGCACAGACAAACCAGAAAGAAGATATCCCAGTCAACTCCTACTGGACATGTTGAGCATGGAGACAATGAGATGGCTGCTGCATCAGAGGACGGTGCATGACTAGGTCAGACAGATTTGCTTGGATGTCAGAATGGATAACAATTAACAAGCATCAAGCAGAACCATTTACAAAGTGTTATGGGCCCCTGGGCAAACCAGTATGCTGGGGCCCATAACAGGAATGAAATTTTTAATGATAAGAAATCACTTGATATGCACATATTGGCATAGGGCCTATATGCTTTTGGGCCCTTGGGCAAGTGCCTAGCGAGCCCATGTGTTAAGTTGGCACTGGAAACAAGTAGGTAAAATAAAGGACCTTTTTTTCCATACCTTCAGGCTTACTGGGCATATAGGGCTGGACACCTATATTTTATAGACCAATCAGCACTTGGTGGGTGATGTGGTCAGTGTCACGCCAGCCACCTTTATTTCCCAGGACTACTAGAAAGAAGTAATATTTGCTAAATCAGATATTTCCTATTTGTATTAATTTTAACACAGGTCGCGTCCATCATGCACTCGGTAACTACACAGAGGCTGTCCAGTACCTACAGCAAGGGCTGCAGATTGCAGAGCAGCTGAGACGCAGAGAAGATGAGGCCAAAATCCGCCATCGGCTGGGTCTCTCCTTGTGGTCAGCTGGTAACTTAGATCAGTGCCAACAACAACTCCATCGTGCTGCAGATCTGTTTGAGACCATTCGCCGGGAGTCTCAGTGTAGCTCAGAGTATCGGCTGTCGCTGTTTGATCTTCAGACTGCTTGTTACCAGACCTTGCAGGTAAACTCTTTGATCTTCCAACTGCTTGTCACCAGACCTAGCAGGTAAACTCTTTGATCTTCCAACTGCTTGTCACCAGACCTAGCAGGTAAACTCTTTGATTTTCAGACTGCTTTTCACCAGACCTTGCAGGCAAACTCTTTGATATTCAGACTGCTTGTTACCAGACTTTACAGGTAAACTCTTTGATCTTTACACTGCTTTTTGTGATTTTACCAGACAATTTTACATTCAATACTTTGTCATTGCTTTCTGAATGGTCAGCTTTCGATACCACTGTTGAAACCAATGCAAAGCGGTTTGCTGTCAGATTGCATGCATCTCAGATTGAACCCAACACTTCGGCATTACGAAGTGTGCTTACAACACCTAAGCCACTAATGCCCCGCACCTTTAAAAAAATTATTTTTAATTCTGTGTTGTTTCTGTACTCCCCTCCTCCCCCAGCCCCTTCCTCATCTGCTAATATATAGAAGAGATATTTACCATGTGGATTCCGGTGCCCCATTTCGGAAAGAGGTGGGGTGGGTGGGGTGGGGGGGAAATAGATCCACAGTTTCCTAAGAAGCTTGTCATAAAAGGAAACTTATTATGGTTTCAATGAAGTCAGATTTGTGAGGCTCAGAGATGCAGATTTCACAGCCTAGCTTTAAACCTGCAATGTGGCTCTGTCTAGGGTTTGATTAAACTTGTCACATTGCTATACTGATGTTCTTAGTTGCAAAAAGTCACTAGGAATACACCAGACAACGAACACGTAGTTATTGATCTTTATTCACTGTCCCAACAGTCGCACTGCCCAGTCGTTCACTTGGTTCTTGTGTGTTCTTGGCAGATTTATGACATTTCCAACTATCTCAAACTGTGATTCTCTCCGCCATTAACTTTCGGATCATACATCTGGATCAGGCTAACATCTTATTCTTTGTACCTATACACATTCAAAACTTGCAGTCAGTAGACTTTCATTTCTGCTCTCGAACAATTACACATGGTCAGACGATCTGCATTCTTCTCAGCTGTTCTCTTGCATTCGTCTGCACACATCCAGGTCCAAACTTCAACTGACTTCCTATCCTCTCTGGGTTCAAATCTTCCGTTCAAGTCTCACACTTTCCCTGTACTTCTATTCACCCAACACGGGGTACTCAAGACCTGTTTTTCTTGCTTTCCTCTTGTTTCACTGGTCCTCTGACCTTGTTCCCCTAATCGGGAACTCTCTGGGATTTCCCCAGGAATTCACAACATTACAAACCACAATGTGTCAACTACCCTTTTGAGGGCAAACACAGAGGAGGAGGAAGAAGAAGAAGAAGACATATTGTTTTATCTAAAATCTTAACTAACTGTCATCATTTCCAGAGAGTTCTGGTATCACTGAACCGACATGATGAAGCCTTGGTCGTTGCCGAAAGAGCATGCACTCGAGCATTTATTGACCTTCTCTTGGAGAGACAAGCCGGATCTGCCGGGCTGTTCAATGGGACTACAATGGATCTGACCCCAGTGTCCACAGAACAGATCACCAACATCGTAGCCAATCAAAGCAGTTATGTTTTGTGTTTTTCCATCGCTTCCAAACACCTCTACAGCTGGTTGCTTACTCCAAAACAAGGTATGTTTAACATGTAGACGGCATAGTTAACTTCATCATCATCATCATCACCTCCTATACCAGATGCCTTAGTAACTTCACTGTCATCCTCTCATCCGTCTCCTTCTTCTCCTTATCATCATCATCATCATTATCATCATGTCCCACCCAGATGCATTAGTAACTTCACTATCATTATCTCATTCTTCTCCTCCTCCTTGTCATCATCATCATCATCATATCCCACATCAAATGTATTGGTAACTTCACTGTCCTTCTCCTCCTCCTCCTTGTTATCATCGTCATATCTCATACAAGATGCATTGGTTACTTCACTGACATCATCTTCATCCTCCTTCTCCTCCTCCTCTTCATCATCATCATATCCCACACTAGATGCATTGGTTACTTCACTGTCATCATCTTCATCCTCCTTCTCCTCCTCCTCTTCATCATCATCATATCCCACACTAGATGCATTGGTTACTTCACTGTCATCATCTTCATCCTCCTCCTCTTCATCATCATCATATCCCACACTAGATGCATTGGTTACTTCACTGTCATCATCTTCATCCTCCTTCTCCTCCTCCTCTTCATCATCATCATCATATCCCAGACTAGATGCATTGGTTACTTCACTGTCATCATCCTCATCCTCCTTCTCCTCCTCTTCTTCATCATCATCATATCCCACACCAGATGCATTGGTAACTTCACTATCATCATCTTCAACCTCCTCCTCATCATCATTATCGTCATCACCATCATCAGCCTCACCATCATATCCCATACCATATGCTTTGGTAAGTTCATTATCATTCTCATCATAATCATGTGCCTAACCAGATGGCAAAGGCAACTTCTTATGCTTGGTTAACATGGGAGTCATTTGTCAGTTACAAGATTAATGTAATAAATTTGCTTCAATAAATATTTCCTTCTGCAGGCATTGTCAAGTTTCACAGTGTATGCCTGAGTGATCTGGATTCTGACAGTGAAACAGTGGACACTCGGTCTTTCATCAGTGTCTCAGGCCTGTCATTACTGGATCAGTGTGTGGGGCAGCTCAGGGAATCCATGGGCATTGAGAGTCACATTGCTACCTCAGCTACAGGGCATAGGTCAGTATGAGTTCATGACCTTTGTTGTATCGGTTATTATTATCATCATTATCTCCCCGTGTGGGTTCCTGGGCACTGTTGTAGGGAAAACAAGAACAGACCCACTGCCTATCCAAAAAACATGTCATAAAAGTCGACTTCAAAGTCGGAGTGTATCTGCCTGAGAGGCAAGGAACCAACAGTATGCACATAAATGAGTCAGATCTGTCAAACGGATGCACACGCAATACTCAGGTTCTGAAACAGGACTGCAGTCCAGAGTGGACGAACAACCAGAACTTTCCGCCGGAGTTTACAGCCAGTGAAGGCAAAGAAGAAGAAGAAGTAGAAGAAGAAGACTACTGAAATAAGTAAATTGATCTATTATTTTAATTCCTTTTGTCCGTAGTATTACATCTACCTGATCTGTTATTAGTGTCTTCAATATATTTATCTCAGAATTTTTTTGTAGTCCAAGTCCAAACTTTGATGCTATATTTGCGAAATAATCTGTTTTTCTTTGCATGTCTTTGTTGTTTTTAGTGAGCAGAACAATGGCTTTACTGGAATGACAATCTTTCCTGAAAGTTTCTATAGCAAATAATTTTTATAGGGTAGGTGAGTTGGCTCCATGCCTAACCATCCCTGGTTTGGGTGGGCTGTGGTTGTAAACAGTTTGAGGAATGTTGGTCTAGAATGACCAGACAATTACATATTTCTGAAACATCCCTAGAAGAAGACAGAAGCAAAGCTCACTGTACAGATTTTTAGTAAAGGCTTAACCCAGTGAGCCTCAACCAGGTCCAGGTAGGGAAAAGAGACAGACAGAGTTTCAGTGGGCCACAAAACAAATTCCCTGGTTTCATTGGGCCACAAAACAAATACTGGTTTCATTGGGCCTCAAATCAAAATCCCTGATTCAGTTGGCCACAACACAAATTTCCTGGTTTCAGTGGACCACGAAACACATTCCATGGTTTCAGTGGGCCACATAACAAATTCCATGGTTTCAGTGGGCCACATAACAAATTCCATGGTTTCAGTGGGCCACATAACAAATTCCATGGTTTCAGTGGGCCACATAACAAATTCCATGGTTTCAGTGGGCCTCAAAGCATAATCCTTGGTTTTGGTGGACCACAAAATAAATTCCCTGATTTAGGTGGACCATGAAACAAATTCCCCATTTTCAGTAGACCAAAAATCAAATTCCCTATTTTCAGTAGACCAAAAATCAAATTCCCTGGTTTAGGTGGACCAGGAAACAAATTCCCTGGTTTCAGTGGACCACAAAACAAATTCCCTGGTTTAGGTGGACCACAAAACTAATTCCCTGGTTTTGGTGAACCATGAAACAAATTCCTTGGTTTCAGGGGACCCTGAAACAAATTCCCTGATTTCAGTGGTCCTCAAAACAAATTCCCTCGTTTCAGTGGGCCTTTAAACAAAATCTCTAGTTTTATTTTGCCACAAAACTAATTCCCTGGTTTCAGTGGGCCTTAAAACAAAATTCCTGGTTCAGTGGGCCAAGACACAAATTTCCTGGTTTTGGTGGACCACGAAACAAATTCCTTGATTTCAGTGGTCCTCAGAACAAATTCCCTGGTTTCAGTTGGCCACGAAACAAATTCTGTGGTTTCAGTGGGCCACACAACGAATTTCCTGGTTTCGGTGGGCCTCAAAGCAAAATCCTTGGTTCAGTGGGCCACGAAACAAATTCCCTGGTTTCGGTGGACAATAAAAAATATTCCTGGTTTTGATGGGCTGTGGTTGTAAACAGGTTGAGGAATGTTGGTCCAGAATGACCAGATAATGACATATTTCTGAAACATCACTAGAAGAAGGCAGAAGCAAAGCTCACTGTACAGATTTATAGTAAAGGCTTAACCCAGTGAGCCTCAACCAGGTCCAGATAGGAAAAAGAGACAGATAGATCAAAAAAATTTGAGAAAAAATACAAGAATTTTCAGATTTCTAAAGTTTTATTGGAAGGGGACTGTCCTACCAAACAGTAACATCTGCTCCTCCTCCTTCCTTCTCAGTACCATCCTAGTAGGCAATGGACTCTTCCCCCCAAAATAAAGTGAGGTTACATTTTATTTATTTCATCTAATTGCTTTTATATTTATATATTCTAGGATTAGGCAGTATATAAATTATATTATGCAACATATCAGTGTATAAAGTGTCAGTATCAATAAGATTGTCTTTTTTCATTAGAATGGATTAATCACTCTCCCTTTATTTCTTTTTGGGAACATTTGCTTTATATACATTCTGACTGGTTAACGTCCAAGGATTTGCAACGGACTGAGTTGATATCGAGCTACCACTTTACTTCATTTTGACCTGTTTATAGTTGGCATTCACATCAGGGCCTTTGGCGTATTGTAAAGTAATAAATAACAGCCCTGAACATGTACTCAGGTGAAAATTGCCAAAATTACACATAGGGGGACTGCATATTTGGCTTATTCAGCAGAACAAAGAGAAGAGCAGTGATTAAGGATTTTTGCCACAGATTTGAGGTATTTCACTCATATACCAGTGCCTGTGTACCCACTACAAACACACCTTTCAGGCTGCAGTTTCTTATGAACAACCATTTGAAATGCCCCAATGGACACATTGAATTCTTTTGCTAGCGAACAACACTTCACATATATTGCTGGATCAGTTTTGGTGATGGTTTTTCTATTGCAACAATATGTACTTGACCCAGTTGTGGAAAATCAGATTTGAACCCGTGAGAGTGAGTTACAACCTGGTATCAGTGAGATGACAAAAAAAGATGAAAGACCCAAGAATTTCAGATCCACAGCGAGCAAAATCAAATATAGTGAACTCTGAAGTCAAATATAGTGAACTCTGAAGTCAAATATAGTGAACTCTGAAGTCAAATATAGTGAACTCTAAAGTCAAATATAGTGAACTCTGAAGTCAAATATAGTGAACTCTGAAGTCAAATATAGTGAACTCTGAAGTCAAATATAGTGAACTCTTAAGTCAAATATAGTGAACTCTAAAGTCAAATATAGTGAACTCTGAAGTCAAATATAGTGAACTCTAAAGTCAAATATAGTGAACTCTGAAGTCAAATATAGTGAACACAAAGCATAAATGTATTTCCGTGTAAAAATTATTTTCCAAAGTTTTTGCTACTTTTTCATTTTGACCAACACAGGTCAAGTGTGATCCTATCTGGCCATGAATACAGCGACACTGACAGTGAAGCAGACGATGTATTCCAGCTGCAGCTTGAAGAACTTGGGGATAAACTGAATGCAGACACAGACAGGACAGGTTTCTTGGCCATGGTCAACCGAAGCCACAACTTGAACGCCAGCAGTTACAGTTTGGGCAGCATTCTCAGTACAGGAGCTGGCAGTGTCAGCAGCAATTTGCTAAACACTCTTGGCGGAAGCCAGCGGAGCCTAGGATTAACAAGTTTAGCTAGTGGCAGTGGGAGGAGTGTCGGTAGAAGACTTGGGTCAAAATCTAAGTTAGGGGGAGTTAACTCTCCTTTAAGCATGTTGTATCGGTATTTAATTGAACCAATGGAGGCTGCTATTGCAGAAATAAAGGAGGCAGAATCTATTCAAAATGACTATGGCGGTTCAAGTGGTTCAACAGACTCTACTGATCTGGTTCTTGTTCTTCAAGGAGATTTGTATCTTGTTCCTTTTCTCATGCTTCGACGGGAGCAGGCTGAAAGCTTTCTGTTTGAAAAATACACAACAATAATAGTTCCTTCCATTAGTGCCTTGCAGAATTCACAAAACTCTGATAGAAGAGGTCGACAAGGTGTTCAGTCATCTGGAGCATTGGTGGTTGGAAATCCACGTCTGACTCCAGTCATCTGTCAACATTGGCATCTGAAGGAAATCCCTGGGGCTGAATTTGAAGCAAGAATTCTGGGAGAATTGTTAACTTGTCGACCTTTGATTGGAGCAGAGGCTACAAAAGCTGCAGTTCTTCATCAAATTGAACAAGTGGAAGTAATCCATTTTGCTGCCCACATTTCTTGGAAATTGTCTTCTATAGTACTGTCCCCTGGAGAGTTTATATCAAGTCCCAGTCAGCATTTTCCAGCAATGGATTCTGATGACAGCTCAAGTGACTTTGATGCCATTGGAGGACCAGCTCTTTCAGAATATCTTCTAACTGCTGCAGACATCCTTAACCTGAAACTGCGTGCCAAATTAGTTGTACTTAATTCAGGCTACACCGACGACCGAGCCGGGCGTATTAACACAGATGGTGTTGTGGGACTGACACGTTCTCTTCTCTCAGCTGGTGCTCAGTGTGTTTTGTTCTCACTATGGCCTGTACCAGACCCAGCCTCAAAACTGCTCATGAAGACACTGTATACAGCATTGCTGGATGGCATCAAAGTTACCAAGGCATTGTCACTGGCAGTGAAGACAGTCCAAACTACAGCTCAGTTCTCACATCCATCCAACTGGGGTGGCTGGGTCCTTGTTGGTGCTGATATCACCTTGAGCTCTAAGGCAGCTCTTATGGGACATGCTCTGGAACAGATTGTACAAGCTCACAGTACATGCAGACAGACTCTGAAGGTTCTCCTTCATTTGGTAAGTTTCAGTCTTTAACTCTTTGAGTCCCAAGGAACGCATCATATGTTCATAGGTTCGTACCTAGAAGCCCAATGAACGCATGATGCGCCGATTTTATGACTCTCTTTACTACCCACTGGGCCTGTGATGCTAAACCCCCTGGGACTCAAAGAGTTAATTGTTTTCACAGTAAAAGTAATGGTAAGGAATCCTGTTCTGCACCTTCAGGCATATTGGGCATATAGGGCTAGACCTATATTTTATAGACCAACTGACACACAAGGGATGATAGTACCAATTTAAAGCTGGGTTGACCTGGGAGTCGGTACCCTTTTTGAAAAATGTCTGGTTCCATCAAGACCTTGACTTTCAGATACGCAGGTGAGTATCTAGTCGCTACACCATGGCTGCTGCCGTTGATTGTTTTAGCCTATATACAGCCAGGACAAGAGACTGTTAGAGAAAAAGTTCATCACTGAGCTAGGGGTCTTACAACCAGTTGCTGAGATTTGTAAGGATAGTGTGTACATTTGGTAGAGACATATTCATATGTATTGAAATTATCAATGTGTTAGCTGACACTGATTTCTACAGTAAACTGTCTGATGTTAGACACTTGTTGGAGTCACTATACATAGTATGTTAAAAGATAAACACTTGTTTACTTGGCAATCAACTATACTATCATGACAAGCACTATGTAGCCTCACACAACCATCTCATCAGTTTTGTGCTGTTATGGACATGTTTCAAATCTGGCTCTGAGGACATAAAAGGCAAAAATAACTGTGTTACAGTTTATGTGTTTTAGAGATTAACACTCTCGGGATTTATCACCAGCTTGTGTTGTTTTACACTTTTGAGCATTTATGATCTAGTGATTTATTGCTAACCTGTGCTCTGTTTGACACTTTGGGGATTTATGCTCTAGGGATTTATCACTAGCTTGTACACTGTTTGACACTTTTAGGAATTTATGCTCTAGGGATTTATTTCTAGCTTGTGCTCTGTTTGACACTTTTAGGGATTTATGCTCTAGGGATTTATCACCATCTTGTGCTCTGTTTGACACTTTTAGGGATTTATGCTCTATGGATTTATTGCTAGCTTGTGTTAGTGTTTGACACTTTTAGGGGTTTATGCTCTAGGGATTTATCACTAGCTTGTACTCTGTCTGACACTTTTGGGATTTGTGCTCTAGTGATTTATCCCCATCTTGTGCTCTGTTTGACACTTTTAGGGATGTATGCTCTAGGGATTTATCACTAGCTTGTACTCTGTTTGACACTTTTAGGGAATTGTGCTCTAGTGATTTATCACCATCTTGTGCTCTGTTTGACACTTATAGGGATTTATGCTCTAGAGATTTTTTGCTAGCTTGTGCTCAGTTTGACACTTTTAGGGATTTGTGCTCTAGGGATTTATTGCTAGCCTGTGCTCTGTTTGACACTTTTAGAGATTTGTGCTCTAGGGATTTATTGCTAGCCTGTGCTCTGTTTGACACTTTTAGGGATTTGTGCTATAGGGATTTATTGCTAGCCTGTGTTCTGTTTGACACTTTTAGGGATTTGTGCTCTAGGGATTTATTGCTAGCCTGTGCTCTTTTTGACATTTTTAGGAATTTATCTTCTATGGATTTATTGCTAGCTTGTGTTAGTGTTTGACACTTTTAGGGGTTTATGCTCTAGGGATTTATCACTAGCTTGTACTCTGTCTGACACTTTTTGGGATTTGTGCTCTAGTGATTTTATCCCATCTTGTGCTCTGTTTGACACTTTTAGGGATGTATGCTCTAGGGATTTATCACTAGCTTGTACTCTGTTTGACACTTTTAGGGAATTGTGCTCTAGTGATTTATCACCATCTTGTGCTCTGTTTGACACTTATAGGGATTTATGCTCTAGAGATTTTTTGCTAGCTTGTGCTCAGTTTGACACTTTTAGGGATTTGTGCTCTAGGGATTTATTGCTAGCCTGTGCTCTGTTTGACACTTTTAGAGATCTGTGCTCTAGGGATTTATTGCTAGCCTGTGCTCTGTTTGACAATTTTAGGAATTTATCTTCTATGGATTTATTGCTAGCTTGTGTTAGTGTTTGACACTTTTAGTGGATGACCAGTCATTCTGTGGAGCAGTGGTCTCCAACATCTTTTAGGTTACTCTCCTTGGGTGTATGACAAGACCCCCATGGCCCCCCCCCCCCCCCAACTCTTTGAGTTTTGGCAAGACCCCCGCAATCCCCCTTGAGCATAAAGGCAAGACCCCGGCACTTCTCCTTGAGTATATGGTAAGACCCCTACAACCCCCTTTAGGATATGGCAAAGAAACCCCCCACCAATTAAAAAATTTTTTATTTAAAGGAGGTCAGTAGATTCTGCAGCAAGAGAAATAGAAAGTATGGAGATACATTTTGATCAGAATGTGTTTTTAATTCACAATTAACTGCATGTGTTATCACATATGAATTTCATTTTTTAACGTTAAAAAAACTGCTCATGAAAGCAAAAATGTCCTTGCTGTTTTGTTAAATAAATAGTTTGACAACTATTTTTTAAATTTATAATTAAACTAAAATAAAATGTTAATGTAACAGATTGCTGCAAGTACAGATGCCCTCCTTTAAAATTGCTTGACGACCCCCCGGGCTTTTAAATGTAAATGCTAGAGACGCATTTTACAAATTAGTTTTTTCCGAACATAAAACTAACAAATATGTCAGAGTCAAAGTATGCAAATTTGCAGAACAGCAGGAGCCTCTTTTGGCAGTGGTGAAATGTTGCAAGCTAGCTTGGTTCGGGCAGTGGTGAGACATGATTCTATTGCAAAGACTGGACAAGGAACATTAGGGGGTAGTCGAAGAAGAGGAGGGCAAAGAAGAACCTGAAATGACAACATCAAGAAATGGACAGGACTAAGATCATTCACTTATTCATCAAGCAAAAAACAGAGACAGATGGCAGATTTTGTGTGCTAGTGCTTCCATCGATTCACCTCCATGACCTTAACTGTTCAAGGGTTATGTTATGACTCCCCCCCCCCCCCCCCCCCCCTAAACCTTGAAACCTCCTTGCACATCCCTTTCCCTCCCCCCCCCCCCCCCCAACCCCCAACTTTAAAACCTCCCTGCGCCTCCCTTGCCCCTTTGCCCTCCCAGCCAGGCTTAAGACTGCTACTGTGAAGAGATACCAAGCTGTGCAGGATAAAATCCTGAGCAGTTCAAATGATGACACTTGAAGCCATGATACTAGAAATAACGATATAAATTCTGAAATTGTAAATGATGACTTAAGAGACACCATAGATTAAATACTCTGCATTGCATTTATAGAGAAAAACAAATAAGTGACATGGACATGGTGCTGTGAATTAAACCTAATTAGCTCAAGCTTGGTGCATTTAAATACAAAAAATAAAAAAGGCAGCCAAACACTGTGGCTAGATGGAGACCAAGTTTAAGATGGATGGATTTTTTTTAAAGAAACACAGCGGACACATAAGGCAATTCTGGTGACATACTGTTTTTCTTTTCTTGACTGAAAACTTGACATTTTCCTGTGCTTCACAGCAAATGTAGATCATAAGGCAACATATGTATAGAAAAGTAAAGGATACCTTTGTTTATGCTGTGAAGCTCATTTAATGTATGGTGCTAAATATCACTTCTGCCAGCTTTATTTCCCAAGAAATTTCCTTCTGTAGATAAATATATAACTTTCTGTTCTTCTTCTTCTGCCTTTCTATCCCCCATTGGAGCATAGGCCCTCAACCAACTCACGCCAAGTCGTTCTATCCTTCGCCATTACATGGAGCTCTCCCCATGTCCTCCCAATCTTTCTAACCTCATTCTCCAGCTCTCTTCTCCATGTGTTTTTTGGCCTTCCTTTATTCCTATGCCCCTTTCTATTACTGTTAGAAAAATGTTCATCAACCTTCCAGGGGACAGCACTACAGACAATATTTCCAAGAAAATGTGAGGACCAAAATGGATTACTTCCACTTGTCCTCCCAGGTGTCTGCCTTAGACAGGTCAGTGTGGAAGCGCACATTGATGAAGAAATTCCAACATGAGAAGATTTGAACATTTAATCACTGAAGCTAAATGCAGGTATACTAGATTATGTGCTATTGTAAGTAAAGTAAAGGACCTTTTCCACGCGGTCAGGCGTATAGGGGATATAGGGCTAGACCGATATTTTTATAGACCAATCAGCACAAGATGTGTGATGTGGTCAGCATCACGCTGGCCACCTTTGCTTCCTGGGACTGCACCCAGTACCCACTGCACCCAGTACTCACTCAAGGCTGGGTCGACCTGGGAGCCAAGGTCATTTTTAAAAAAAGTCTGGCTCCGCCAGGAAACGAACTCATGACCTTCCGATCTGCAGGCAAGTGTCTAGCTGCTGCACCATGGCGACTCCCCATGTGCTAATGTAGCTCCTTTAAAAAAATAATAAAATATTAGACCCTTTTCATGCCTTTGGCATATCAAGTGTGTGGGGCTAGACCTTGGATCCATTCTAGAATGGGTCAACCTGGAAGCCAAAGACACATTTTGAAGAAAAAAATCTTTCAAAAGAGATAAGTTAACAGATATTCCTAATTTCAAAAGTTTAATAATTGCAAGCTTCTACAGACAATGATATGTTTTTATTCAAACAGGTGGAGAAATCTTTGCAGCGCATCCACCAAGGATGTAAAAACTCCATGTTTACTACACAACAGAGCATTGAAAATAAGGTTGGCCAGGTGGTTGGATGGAAAGACCTGCTACAGGCTGTGGGGTTTAGGTTTGAACCTGCTACTGATGGTTTGCCGCCAGCAGTGTTTTTCCCACAGTCTGACCCTAGTGAGAGACTCACTCAGGCTAGCGCTAGTTTGCAGGCATTTCTAGGTATGTGTATTCACAAACATGTCAGCTAACATTACAATCAAAACCTCAGAAAAAATATGTGCAAGAGGGACATGAATCATACAGGTATTGAAGTAAATTCAGGGGAAGAACAAAATGCAGTGGACAATGTTGCATGGTAGGAGCAAATCAGGAAAGAATTGAGAAAAAAGGAAGAAATTAATGCAGAAAGGGTTAGAGCTGAGCGTATGAGAAGAAAAATGATAAATACAATGATGACAGCAATGGTCCTGAAATCCCATGCTATAATCGTAGTAGATTTGTCTTAAACATGAGCAGGTCTTGCTAGACACACCCACCATCCCCATAGGCTGAATCTCATGCCTCCTGATAGCACATATAACACTACTGTCTGGAAAGACAAAAAGGTGCCATATTGTTAAAAGAACCACAGTGTTATTGTGGTTTGTGTACCTGTCTTCCAAGACATACTGTGTTGCCAGATTTCTTTCGCATGCTCAGACCTAACGTTAGGTTTGTGGTTGTGAACAACGGATCAGCATCATGGCACACATGTGTAACCCATAAGTGTTCCGTTCTTCTAACTCGAGTCTGAGTTCGAAGAAACTCAGCACAGTGCACAGGCTCTGTAGCACCAGCGAGGATCCTGAAATACTTTGGGTAGATTTTAAACTCCAAATTTTGCCTGGGCAGCGCCTTTAGGCTACTCTTTTCCAACTGCCAAGGGATTTTGTACTGCGCAACAATGCACATGGGTGTCCGATCTCACAACCCAGAGACCAGGGGGAATTACTAGACGTCCAAGTCCACGTGAAAAAATCCCAGCCCTTACCGGGGATTGAACCCGGAACCTCTAGCACTCTGGGCGGACACCATGCCTCGAGACCACGCAGACCCCACCTAATGTGAAGAAATGTATATTGTAACTAATCAGTCAGGTGCTATCTCCATGGTGAAGACTGACTGCAATAGATCAAACATACTCTGTCTCTCATCCTGCTTTACATTTTCTGCAAGGTCTTCTTGTGCTTTTCTAACCCCCCAGTGGAGCATAGGCCATCAACAAACTCACGCCAAGTCGTCCTATTTCGCTATCGCATGTAGATCTCCCCATGTCCTCCCCATCTTTTTAACTTCACTCTCCAGCTCCCTACTCCATGTGCTTTTTGGCCTTCCTTTATTTCAATGCACCTGTGGGTTCCAATGCAAAAACATTCTAGTTATATTGTTCTCAGGTTTTCTCAATGTGTATCCTATCCAACGCCAAAATCTGATTCTTTTCTTCACCTCTTGGTCCACTGGAACTTATTTAGTTGTCTCCCAAAGCTCTACATTAGCGATTCTATCATACCATTTGATTCCTTCTATTCTGTGCAGGCACAAGTTAATAAATGTTTGTAGTTTATTATTAACTACCTTGGTTGTTGGGAAGTTGCCATGTGTGGATCGAAAGGTCGTGGGTTCGTTACCTGATGGAGCCAGACTTTTTTTCAAAATGACCTTGACTCTTAGGTGGACCCAGCCTTGAGTGGGTACCAGGTGCAGTCCCGGGTGGCCCGCATGATGCTGACTACATCACCCACCAAGTGCCGATTGGTCTATAAAATATAGGTCTAGCCCTATATGCCCTATACGCCTAAAGGCAACTGCTGTTCATCATCTCTTGTTGTCCTCCCAATGGCTGTCTTCTTTATGTTTCATACTTACATCCTGTGGGTAATGAACAGGTAGACAGATTGGCTGGATCTGCACCACTGGGTGGTGAATTGATACATGACAAGGCAGATGTGGTCAATTCTTGACTCAACTCAACATACTTACATCATAACCTGAAGATTTTATTTTCCCTCAGGACTCCCCACAGCCTCATTAGTGGCTATGTCCAAGTTTGTTACTGTTTTTGAAGCTGGAGAACCCTTGATTCTTGTGGTAAGTCTTTCAACAGATAGAATTGATAAGAGTAGCTCTGAAGTTAAAATTTGTTCCAACTGTCCGAAGATTAGGAGTAAGTAGTAGCTGGCCGTGCGATTACACCATCAGGGTTTCATGCGGGAGACCCTAGTTCGACCCCCTGTTAGGTGATGGAGTTTTTCTGTCAGGGGGCAAAATTAAACATTCTAACCTGCACAGTCCATGGCAGCAGCACTAGCCAGGTAGCTCTAAATCCTCAGGCTCAATTCTTCCCCTGTCCACACATTGCCCTAAAAAGTGATAAAACAAACAGTAGTGACAGCGACACCTTTTAGTAATTTTATGATAGATTACATACTCTTCAGCTTTGATATCCTAAAAATACATGTTATGAGTTTAATTTATATTGTTTAAACCTTTCAAGTAATTTATATTGTTTATACCTTTCAAGTGTCAGTTCATAGCAAATGATTTTGAAGCATTTTACTATGTATTTGTTGAAATCTTTAGTTGACACTTCAGACTGGAGACTCTGGCCAAAATGGCCAAAAACTGGCTGGCCACTCACACTCTAAAAAATTATTAGTTTCCGGCTAGGTTTTGCTAATACAAATTCTCCATTTCTGGACTATGATTCCAAAGGTTCCATCACCCAGCTACTGAGCTGAATGCTTGGTGGGACACTATGAGCTGTGGATTTAATGTAGAATTGTGTGTGTGTGATATCAACAGCATGTTGTTGACTTCGCTGAAACGGCAGGTGGCTGATTATGGTCAGAATGGTGCACACTTTAGTGGTTGCAGTGATGGTTTCATGACTGACCATTTTCACCAACAGAGGGCTGCAGTTCTAACAAGTTTTTTTGCTAGTTTTCAAAAGGAACAGTGAAAGGCATTTTGTATGATTTCCACTGACACAGGAACAGAGAAGCCATGGGTTAACCTAACCTGTCTGCAGTGATGTTGGAACCTCAACTAACGACTAATGACTAATGTTTCAACACTTTACTCTGTACTTGCTTAAGCCTTTAGCTGTTACATGATAACAGCTTTCAGTTTACTTTGTACTTGTTTAAGCCTTTAGCTTTGAGATAATAATAACAAACAGTTTACTTTTTACTTGTTTAAGCCTTTAGCTATGAATTGATAATAGCAAACAGTTTACTTTTTACTTATTTAAGCCTTTAGCTATGAGATGATAATAATGAACAGTTTACTTTGTACTTGCTTCCTTCAGCTGTCATTATCTAGCAACTGATGTTACAGCAGTTTACTTTTTACTTGCTGAAACCTTCAGCTCTTAGTTCCTAGAAACTAATGTTTTAATAGTTTACTTTGTACTTGCTAAAACTTTCAGCTGCGAGAAATTCTAAGCAAGCTGACAGCCAAGGAATCAGCCATTGATGTGATGGTGGATGTCAGACTGTGGGGCGTCTCTGGCTGCCATGAATTCTTGGCTTCACTGAGTAAGTTTTTTCTTCTTCTTTCCTTGTTTGTGATATTACATTCATGTTAATGTTTAAAATGGGTTTAACCCTCTTGCCTGAAAAGCACAAAACCTGGCATTTCTGATTTGTGCCATGGCCCTGTAAATGTCCCTTTCCCGGCTTGATATACATTATGTTTGATTATGAGGAGCACTGCTACTAGCATTGCCTTTGTTTTTTCCTGAGCAACTTTTTAGAATGACCGGTACTAAAATAGCATTTAGATAGTATTTCCTTGTGGAAATAATTTCATTTATAAAAATGAGTACATCAGAGATTTCCATTAGTTAAAGTGATAACTGGTGGCTCAGTCATAGAGTCAAGAACTGGCCATGCTAACAATTTTTTTAAAGTTCAGAGAGATGTAGGACTTTCTGCCCCATGTGTGTTTATTGATTACTCCAATTAAATTGTTTTGGTCAATAAATGGAATGGTTATTACTCTTTGTGTGACCTGGTTCAAACTGTTGTTTGTCTTAAGATGTGGGATCTGACAATGTAACCCTCCGGTTGAGCAAGCAGGCAGTGAGGCGGCACCTTCAATTTGCCCTGCAAGCTCTGGTATCAGTTTTTGGTAAGATCATTGTATCTTCAGCTTCTGTAGTATCTGAGCAACATTCTTCTTCTTTCTTATTCATGTTCACCGGCTGTAAACTTCGGCAGAAAGTTCCGGTTGTTAATCCACCTCTGGACTTAAGACCTTTTCCAGAATCTGAGTGTTGCATGCATATCCGTTTTACAGATCTGACTTATTTTTTATGCAGACTGTTGGTTCCTTGTCTCTCAGGCAGATGCACTTTGACTTTGAAGGAAGCTCCCAGTTAGTTGACTCTTGTTGGGGGAGGCAGTGGGTATGTTGTTATTTTCCCCACAAGGGGACCCCAAAACCAACACAGGGAAGCAGCATCCTTTACTCCCTGTATTGAATATTATTTACAGTTGTGTAAAACTGACTGACTGACTGACTTTCTACCCCACCAGGACATCACACAAGCGATAAACACCCGATGACACAAAGTGCCACCATGCGGATGAGGATCGCCGTGGAGAGGTCCCAGAAACCGCGTTCAGACAATTGGCCATATTTATGGCCTGCCTATATTGCGGCCCCTGGCAAAAGCCAGGGTGGGGCTTCAAATAACAAAAAATTTCGTCCTGAAAAGGACGAAACTGTGTATAATATAATAGACATAGTTGTGTAAAACTTGTGGCTTGGGTGTTTTATACGCTTTACAAATCTGACTTGCCAGGTTCAGTCCCATCAGTGGGTGATTTGGTATCAGGCTTCCTAGCATTGGTGTCAAGAATGATATTAAGAGCCAACCAATGGGATTATCTGCACATTTTTAACTGGAAGCAGTTATTTTTCATCTCAGCTAATCAGCAGAGGCTCTTTACAGAATGTCGCTTGCTTCATGGCACGTCTGAAAGTCTCTCTTTCTCTAGCTGATAATTGCACTCGCTCTATCCCAGCAGAGATGGAGAAAGTTAGAAATGTTCATAGGAACTCTCTTGCATTACAGGTAAATCATCATATGCTTTGCCAGGTGCACGGCCAGCTCCAGATATAAGGCCGTACAGCTCAAATGGGAATTCCCGTTTTTGTGAGGCTGGCGTGGCCTGTCAGTGGTAACAATTGTTATCGAGTAGATTTATTCACCAATTGAACTACAGTTTTAACTAATTTGCATCATGTGTTATTGAATAAATTATCATTTAAAATTATTATAATGAATTCCTGTTTAAGCTATACAGCCTTATATCTGGAGCTGGCCGTGGCAAGATGTATCATTTCTCTACTCACCTACCAGCCTGATGTAGCAGTTACAGGTTTTCCAATTGGAGGTTGAATGGATCATTTGGTTTTTGCACTTCTGGCTTGCCATTTAGTTTGATTATACCTTCTTCTCTTAGCAGTTTGAAGGGGTAAAAACAGATAGACAATTCTGTTGTACAGCTAATTTGTAATAAATACACAGATCAATGAACGTAAAAGCTGCAACAGAAATAATAGTATCAATGAATAATTTGTTTTTACAAAGAACAATTACATTTTTGTAAATATATCCTTACAGTGAGATCAAATATGAGATTTTTATTTTCCTTTAAAGAAAATGAGCATACAACATATACTCAGATACAACAACACCCTTGGTATTATCACTATTATTATCAATATTGATGTATGGTAAAATCACTATTAATATATAATATTAATAATACTGATGCATGGTATTATCACCACTGATACATGGTATTATCACCACTGATGCATGGTATTATCACCACTGATACATGGTAAGTAAAGTGAGGGACTATTTTCCACCCTTCAGGTTATTGTGCATATAGGGCTTGACCTATATTTTATAAACCAATCAGAACTTGGTGGGAGATGTGATCAACATCACGCTGGTATCCACTCAAGGCTGGGTCGACCTGGGAGCCAAAGTCATTTTTTAAGACAGCCTGGTTCCGTTAGGACCCGAGCCCCTGATGATACATAGTAAAATCACTATTGATACATGGTATTATCATAGTTGATACAAGGTGTTATAACAATTGATACATGGTATTATCTTAGTTGATCCAAGGTGTTATAACAATTGATACATGGTATTATCATAGTTGATACAAGGTGTTATAACAATTGATACATGGTATTATCACTACTGACACATTGTACTATCACCACTGATACATTGTACAATCTGTATTGATGTATGGTTATGTATTACAGTTGCCAAATGATACCATAACAATTGATAATGGTATTATTACAGTTGATACTTAATGTTATCACTATTGATACAGGTTACTTATATATTTTTAGGAAAATCTGCAAGGCCGATATTTCAGAGCATCACTGTCATTGTCCAGCAGCTCAGAACAGTCAACTCCTTCAGCTTCGCCGCAGTCACCACGATCTCCACTGCTGGACCCTGCAGTCCAGCTCTCTCACCAGGCTCATATCCGCAGTGTCTATGGGGTTGGACACAATGCCACTGACCAGACCTCGGTTTTTTCTGCTGTGAGGCAGACAGAACCTCCAGACTTTCCCGGAGATTCCTCAATTCAGGAATCAGATGTTGGTGTAAAAGTTAGAAGCAGAATCAACTCTTGCAATGAGTTTTCAACTGATGATAAAGACAGAAGTGCTGAAAATAAACTCAGCTTGGTTGTCAGTAGCCATGATGGGCTAAATCCCATGAAAGAAAGAAATGCAGAAAATTCTGAGGCAGTAAAGACATCTAGAAAATCATCTCTCTCTGCAGTGCCTCAGCAGGTTAAAAATGGCAGCTTGAGTGAGGAGGGTCTGCAGAAGTCTGTTACATTTGCAGAGAAGCTCATTAGCGAAGAAATTTCATTTGATTCTTCATCTCCAAGATGCGATTCTGGCAGTGATTACGGAGGATGTCATAGACACACAGACTTGTCTATGATAGATTCTAGACAGCAGACAGAGAAGGAAATTTCCGAGAAATCAAAGTGCACAAAAACATCAGAGATCAGAGAATATTTTGAAAAGTTAAACAAACAGAAAGTACAAGACTCATTGTCTGCATCTCAAAGTGAATCTTCAGACCCTCAAACTTTATCTACTGGCTGCAGTGAAAACATAAGCAAATCCCAGATGAATTTGTCCAGTGACGCTGAGAGGCAAAATGTAGCTATGAAAATCTTAGGAGATGTTTCCAGTCATAGAGTAGCTGTCGAGTTCATGCAGAAACAAAGTCTTCTTCAGTCACAGGAAACTAATCGCAGAATTCAGGAGGAGAAGGAAGCTAAATGTCAGCCAGAAGTCTTTCAAATCAAATCACCCAGAGACATTCAGAATCCACATTTAAGGGATAATACTTTTTCAGAATCTCTGGATATTAGCACAAATCCTAACAGCCTCAAACATAATTTTAATAGATGCTACTCCAGCCCACACATTATGAACATCTTACACCAACAGACTACCTCTAGTCAAAGTTTACTTCAAGACAGTAAGAGAAGTTCTATGTCAGGATGTGTGAATACACCAGCTTTAAATATCAATTCTACAATTTCACCAGTTGCTTCTCCATCAAAATCCTCACTTGCAACAAATCCCTCGTACAGCTCTGCCCAGCATTCTCTTCTAAGGAAGCACCCAATTCAGCCACATCACTCTGCTTATAATGCACTGTTTCCCCAAGGAGGGTTAAGACCCCCCAGTCCACACTTGCTAGTGACATCTCCATCGTTAGGTAAATCTCTTAGTTCTCCCAGGCTGACTCATGTGGGCAGAGGAGGACAACCTGGCGCAGGAAGTGGGGAGAACAGTATCTCATCTGATATCAGTGAAGGTGCTGAGAGCAACATCCAGTCCTCCGTTTCCAGTGGTTATCATTCAGAAAAAAGTGGCTTTTTTGGTGCCAACCTACAAGCCATTCCTCCACCAAATGACAAGCAAGACAAGGGTGTCTTTACCCAAGACTTCGTCAACCGAACTCCATCCTTCACATACTCCTCAGGTTCTTCATCACCATTTAGTCGTACTTCCAACGATGACCATGGCTCAGACAGTTCAGGTGGTTTGGGAAAAACAAGCATGTTTCCCTTCACAAATGTTTACTTCCCAAACCACATCCCTAGACAAAAAGATTTTGTTGCAGGCAATGCTGATATCAGCAAACAATCACAAGAACCGTGCCTCACAGCCAGAACAACAGATAACAACAACAATAGCCACACAGGCAGGAGAGTTCCACTTCCTGGACAATCCATGCCAAATGGACCACTCCCACCAGCTCCTCTAGTAAGAACAAATGCCTTGCAGTTGAGACCTGAGAGCAGCAACAGTTTAAGTAGTCAGTATTCTACCTCTTCTTCTACCCTTTCGACAATTCATAAACCTTATAAAGCAGCTGATTCCCCCAGAGTTAGAGACAGTCAATCTCAACTAGCGAACACCTCCTACAGAAGTTCAGATAACAGTAAGTTATGCAGTAATACCTCACCACAATCCACACTTTCCTACTGTCCCACAGTGAACAGTAACTGCAAAAACCCACCTCATCAGTATCAGCAGAACGGAATTTCTACAGCAACTAAAAACTCAACTATTTATGCACAGCCATCACAGACCCTTGGCAGCAGTGTCCACCATCTCACCTCAGATAATACACATGCCACGACTGGTCATCAAGAGAATGAACTTAGTGCCAACCATTCAAGGACTAATGATTCAAATGTCATAGACCCAGAAGAAGCTAATTACAGAACTCAATTAGGAAATGTTCAGAGCATTATGTTTGACTCAAAATTAAGCTCTCGTATGATTGGTCACAAACAATTTGATAATCAAACTACAAAAATATTCAAAAGTTACAAGCCAATCAGTTGCCAAATGGGAAATAAAGAGATTTCAGAACAAACTGTTATCAAAGCCGGAAGCGACAGCGGCAGACATGCCATTGCAGGAGCCAGAAACACGGCAAACAGTAATAAATTACAAAGCGTTCAATCTCAACCGCCATTGCAAAACTTAAGAGAAAAAGTTCCACCATATTATGGTCTTCATTCCTCAAAATGCTAACTGACTATCTCTTCTTTTTTTATCTTCTTTCTAGTCCTCTTCTGCTTTTTAGTGTAAGGTTTTGAAGAAGCATTCGGTGCAGTCTTGATGTGTGCTACATAGATGCTGGTATTCACACCCTTGGATATTCCACCTGTAAAGATGACACTTTCTCTCGTATTGTAAAGATGTTCGTGTTAAGAAGTGTCTCCTTTATTTTACTGGGTCTCTCTCGTACTTGCTTTCAGTCATACCCAACTGACCCATGTCGTTGTCTAGGGGTCAGATCCATAGAGTAGACGAGGCAGAGTTTCTTCCATCAAATACCACACTTCTCCAAATAGCAAAATGGCAGTCAACAATAATATCGTCAGTTCCAGATTTTTTTTAGTCAAATAAGCAACAAGAATCAATATGACGATCTCACTTAGGCCATCTTGGCAAGGGTCACTCGCTCTCATGTTCAGTACACAGCCATGCCACAATTTATGTGGACCTACACACAATCGATAGGATCAATTGCTAATCGGACCCTGCCATTGTCCTCAGATATGCTTCAATGTAGAGTCACTTCACTCAGGATTAACTTTCATTCTGAACTCTCTGGGGTCCCGTCACAGAGTGACTTCCCAGTCCGCAATCCCCCCAGATCTCCTGTTCACACTTGAATTCACCAATCCCATGTTTTTACCATTTTCCCATGACACTCATGTCTCTCACCTTAGGGACTTCCCCTGTCAATCGGTCAACCCCTTACATTATCCCTATTTGTAGCATCATTACACCATCTATCCATGGCTTGGGTGGTCAACCTTCAGTTCTGCTTCCATTATTTTTAGGTTACAGGGCTCTATGTGGTTCATTTCCTGTGGTCACATTAAAACATTTGATGGTTTAGCACTGGTTCCATTCCTACTTGTTTCCTCATATTGTTGTTTCCGACCCTGTCACTTCTTGTTGCATTTAGGATTTAACTCTTTGAGTCCCAGAGGGTTTAGCATCACAGGCCCAAGGGGTAGTCAAAAGAGACTAAAATCGGCGCATCATGCGTTCACTGGGCTTCTAGGCAGTAACCTATGAACGTATGATGCATTCCTTGGGACTCAAAGAGTTAACGTAGACACTTTATTTCTGTTTTTTTTTTAAAGCGTTTGCCATGTGGCATTATTCATCAAGTTTACAGAGAGTCTGTTGTCATATCTGTTGCCAGTCACTGTAGATAGTTAATGTTATGATGCTAAACAGTTTCATATCTGATCTCTTCATGTATCTCTTCTTCTCTCAATTGTTCTTCTTCTTTACATCCTCTTTTACCGCTTCTGGTGTCGAGGGAGATATAAGGTCCTGCTTTGGGGTCTTCTGGCTGCTTTGACCATGGACACATCAAGGTGTTGTAGAGTTTCTCTGATGTTACCTTCCCATCTTGCTCTAAATCCCTCTCCTCTTTTGGTATATGCTTTGTATGGTATAGCATCAGAAGGCATTCTTTCCATGTGGGCAAATCATTTCATTTGCTGTCTTTGTATGTACTTTAGAATTGGTTCTGTGCCAACTTCATCTCGTATGACCTCATTCCTGATTTTATCTCTTTTGGTCACGCTCACAGTCTTTCTCAGACACCACATGATTATGGTTACTAATTTTTTTAAAATGTTTTTGTTGTGAGTGACCACATCTGACACTGGTAGCATAGGATGGGAATGAAAATGCTTTGTATGAGATGTTTTTTTGTGCTGATTGGGATTGCCAAATGCTGTAAATTCTCTAAATTTCTTGTTTAAATGTAATGTCTAAGAAAAATACTTGGCATCAAGTGGCAGGACAAGATCACAAGCCCTGAGGTTCTAGAAAAAGCAGGTATTGTAACAGTTTTCTCAATGCCCAGTCTGTTAAAGCTCAGATGGCTGGGTCACACCTGGAGAATGGAGGATGGCAGAGATCTAAGTACATCCTCTATGATGAATTACAGAAGGGTAGATGATGTCAGGGTTAGCCTCTACTACATTATAAAGATGTGGGCAAGCAGAACATAAGTGATAAAGGTTTATTCCTTCGAAGTCGAAGTGCATCTGCCTGAGAGGCAAGGAACCAGCAGTCTGCATACAAATGAGTCAGATCTGTAAAACGGATGCAACACGCAACACTCAGGTTCTGGAACAGGACTGCAGTACAGAAGTGGATGAACAACCAGAACTTTTCGCCAGAGTTTACAGCTGGTGAATGTGAAGAAGAAGAAGAAGATACAGCTTTTCTGGTAGATTCGTGGAGGAAAAAAAATTACCAAGGACTATGTTGCATGCAGGACATCCAAGAGATGAGAGAAGCAAAAGATGCTGGATCAGATTCCATCAATGATATTGTAGTGATCGCACAAGCTGCTTCGACCATGGACACATCGTGGTGCTGTAGAGTTTCTCTGATGTTATCTTCCCATCTTGTTCTCGGTCTACCCCTTGCTCTACGTCCCACTCCTCTTTTTGGTATATGCTTTGTATGGCATAGCATCAGAAGGCACAGGATAGAACGGAATGGAGGAATAGACTGCGAGCTGTGTGAGATGTATAATGGCACAACAGTAAAAAGAAGGAATGAGGTATTAGGTTTGAACAACGGATCAACATCATGGCACACGAGTAGTGCTTGGTTCTTCTTCTAACTCAAGTTGGAGTCGGCAGAAGCTCAGCAGTGCACAGGCTTTGTAGCACCAGCGAGTATCCTGAAATACTTTGGGTACATTTTTAACTGCAAATTTTGCCCGTGCGGAGCCATTAGGCTGTTAGCCGTTTTGGATTTCCAACTGCTAAGGGATTTTTTTTTTTACGTACGCAACAATGCACATGGGCATCTGATCTCACTACCCAGAGACCAGGGGGAATTGCTAGAAGTCCAAGTCCACGTGAAAAAATCCCAGCCCTTACCGGCGATTGAACCTGGAACCTCTAGCACTCGAGGTGGACACCATATCTAGAGACCACGCATCCCCTAAGGAGAGTGTGAAGAACTTCCTAGATTCGAAACAAGACTTTTTCAAACATTATATTATTCTTTTATATTTGTTTGATGTTTAATGAATAATAAATAAACATGTATGAATATGTTTTTGAGATGTTATAAATTATACACATGTTTTCATACTATACACAAAGTTCGTTATCACAAATCTGAGATACTGAGAATGCCAAGTTGTATCTCTCTTTGCTATGCCAAACTGACGAATCAAATCAACTATGCAAGAATAATTCACTGTGATAAAATATTTTTACTTTATTTTGTGTGTATAGAAAGGATAGAGGAGCAGCTGGCCAAACAGTTAGAAAGCTGGGCTCTAACACAAAAGACCCAGGTTTGAGTCCTCAGTAAGGCTAGGGATTTTTTCTGTCTCACCTGCACAGTCGTGGCGACAGCACTAGCCATGCGACTGTAAATCTTCAGGCTCAAAGACTCCCCTGCCTACACCACAAAAGTGGTATCACAAAGGCAGAAATTGGCAGTATAGAAATGATTCTGAAAGTGGGATTGCAACTCCCTTGGAGTTCCTGCACACACATTTGCAAATTTATTTGTATATAATGTAAGCTCAGTCCGAGCACATGTTGATTCAATCATAGTGTGAAGGGTTCACAAATCATGATCTTGGATAAAGATGGGTCACATGGAGATATTTTAAAAACTTTGAGAAGCGGCGGTTTATGGCTATTATCTTCATCCTGTGATACACTGGAACTTTCTAGTGCTCTGCCAAAAATTTTAATATATGAGTCGTTAACAGTGGTTAAGTTTGAACAAAGGATCAACATCATGGCACACAAGTAGTGCTCAGTTCTTCTTCTAACTCAAGACAGAGTCTGAAAAAGCTCAGCACAGTGCACAGGCTCTGTAGCACCCGTGAGGATCCTGAAATACTTTAGGTAGATTTTAAACTCCAAATTTTACCAGGGCAGCGCCATTAGGCTACTTGATTTCCAACTGCCAAGGGATTTTTCTATGTGCGCAACAATGCTCACGGGCATCTGATCTCACTACCCAGAGACCAGTGTGAATTACTAGAACTCCAAGTCCTCAAGAATAAATCTCAGCCCTTACTGGGAATTGAACCTTTGGCTTCTCTCATCAACCTTTACTTCTCTCATCAACCTTTACTTCTCTCATCAACCTTCGCTTCCCTCATCAACCTTCACTTCTCTCTCATCAACCTTCACTTCTATCTCATCAACCTTTGCTTCTCTCATCAACCTTCGCTTCCCTCATCAACCTTCACTTCTCTCTCATCAACCTTCACTTCTCTCTCATCAACCTTTGCTTCTCTCATCAACCTTCGCTTCCCTCATCAACCTTCACTTTTCCTATCAACCTTCACTTCTCTCATCAACCTTCGCCTCTCTCATCAACCTTCACTTGAAGGTTTTTCTTGGACATCCTTGTTTCAATCCCTCTATTTCCCATTTCAGTGTCTGTCTGGTGATTCTCTGCTCATTTTTTCCTTAGAATGTGTTTAATATAGTAATATCTTCTCTGTTTTAAAACTGTCAATACTAGTGGTTGTCCAGACATTTCTCTTATTTCTTCACTTATTTTAAATTCACCCCATTTTATATTCATTACTTTTTACTCAGGTATCTGTTTTCAAACACATTTGACTTCCATGCCATATGGTTAGTGGTTCTCCAAGTTTTACTGGCATATGTTAAAACTTAAATAACATTAGAATAGAAAATAGTAACTTGGTTCTAACACTATATAATTTATAATTCCATCCTTTGTTCAAGCTTTTAAAAAGCTGCAGAGCCTTGCCAATGCCCTCCTCCCTCCCCAACATTTTGGGGGGGGGGGTGGTGAGGGGGGTTAGGTGTTAATAAATAAAATGCTATCCACATTTATTTTATTTCTGTCTGAGTTGTCATTCAGCCTGCAAAATATTTCTGATATTTTCCCAGTCTGCAGGTGTAAGCACGTTAACGAACACTGGTTGGGTTTCAAAATTTCTAATTTTGTCAGTGACTGTTTTGAGTGATCTTTTCTAT